AAACCCCAGCCAGGGCACCTGACCCAAACTGGCCAACAGTGTATTCCATACCATGGGACGTCCCATCTAGTTTAGGAACTGGGAAGGGCAGGCGGGGAATCGCCGCTCGGGGACTGGCTGGGTGTCGGTCGGCGGGGGGTGAGCAATTGCCCCGCGCCTCATTTGTAAATTCCAATCCTTTTATTACTACTGTTGTCATTTTATTAGTGTTATCATTATCATTATTAGTTTCTTCTTTCCTGTTCTATTAAACCGTTCTTATCTCAACCCAGGAGTTTTACTTCTTTTCCTGATTTTCTCCCCCATCCCACTGGATGGGGGGGGAGTGAGTGAGCGGCTGCGTGGTGCTTAGTTGCTGGCTGGGGTTAAACCACGACACTCCCGTCAGCAGCAGAGGAGAGCAGATGTCCCCATAGGTGACCTCAGCGTATCTGTGGGTGCTGTGCCTCCTGAATGCCAGAATGCTGGCCCAAGGGTCCCACTGTCTGAGACACCTGAGCGTGCACACGTTAAGGGCATGGTCCTGCGTTTTATTATGGCAATTATAGACTTACCAGCTGTTGTGCTAAGACACTGACACCAGCACTGTGAGTTTCCAAGCAGCCTGGATGTTGTTTTCCAGCGCTGCTGAAACAAGGCTGCTGGGGTGGCCTTTCACATCCAGGCATTAGCATCTACCATGAGCAGCTCTGGATCCCACAAGACAACTGCCCTGGACCAGGATGCTGCATCCCTGTAGCAACGCAGCAGCTGCCAGGAGCCGGTCCCCCTGCCCCGTGCACCCAACTTCCCCTGCAGCCTCCACCTCCCCTCCATCTCCCCCAGCTCTGCAAGCAGAACCACAAACCTTGGGAGGACAGGGGCAATATGTAATTAAATGCCAGCCAGAGAGGAAGCCAACCTCCCAAACCACAGAGTGAAAGAGCATGGCTTGGCCTTACAGTCTGTGGTCATTTATGACAAAGACTTATCTTCCAAAGGAAAACAGGCCATCACTGAAATAGCTGCTTCTCCCCAGTGTTTTCAACCAGCTCTCCCTCTCTCTGGTGCTGTAACACGACTGCAGCTCCATCCGGGCTCAGACCCAGGCGCTTCCCACTACCCAGTCATGTTTCCCCACCTTGCCACTGCCACGAAGCCACAGAGTGCATCAGCACGATCCGCACATACCGAGGAGGAGGAGGAGGAGGAGTTACAGAGCTGATTTACCACTGTGGAAACAAAATGTCTTGCCAGCCAGAGACTGTAAATCACAGATCCCGTCAGCAGGCTTAGGCAAGGGAGATGAAGAGGGCTTATGCACCCACGTTGGATTGCAGTCCTGGATGTCTAAAGGACATTTTCAGACAAGGAGTGTTGAAGACCAAGCTCCAAAATGCTTGTACCTGCCAAGCCCACCTGCCCCAGCCTACTAAAATCCCTACAGCAACCCAGTTCAGAAAGAAAAAGTGATGTAACTGTCATAAATGGTTTAAATATAGAAAAACCAATACTGCACAGGAATGTATAACATCCTCACAGGGAGACATTAAACACATTTATTTGGCCAGACTGACAAATGTCCAAGAGCTGGTGAAACATGGTGCTGACTTGGCCTCTAGTGGGCCTCCAGACAAGACAACTCTAGAGAGGGGTGCCCTAAAACAACGTGTTCCTTTTCCAGCAGGCTACACCAGCGTATTTTTGCTTGTAGACTAGTCTCAGTGATTCTGTAGGTTCATTTTTCTTAAGTGTCAAGGGCCAATCTCTTAAGGCTCCACTGTGTTTATGCCACAAGAACATATTTTAAAGTGGATGCAAATGTCCCTATAAATATTAGTAATATGAGAACTGGGCCCCATGGAAAAACTAATGCTAGAGAACAGTAATTTTGAAGTCTTTGTGGCATCAAATTAATATGGTATTCATGAAAAATATTTTGCAATGGGAAATATTCTGGAGCCTGGGTTAAACTCTTGCTTTAGCACTCACTGTTTTGCAATCACTGACATGAAATTATATCCTTCCACGAGAACTAGTTCTAAAAAGTATATTTAATGTGAATGAACACTCAGAATATCCTGGAAATATATACATAATTCATGAGATCACTGATGGCATTTAGCACAATTCATTACCTATCTAGGCCTGAACAGCATTAAGCATAGCATAGTATCACCTCAGTGTCAGATCAATAAGCTAGGCAGTCTGTACATGCAATAAAGTGTGGAGGAAAAATATCCCTTATTTAAGAGTCGAGCAGATCTGCAGTCTTTCAAGTGCAGTGCCTGTAACATACCTCTGCACTACAAGACAACTAATGTCCCAAACTGAAGCTTGAATGGGACAAAGTCGTTTATCTTTCCCTCTAATGTCTGGTGGAAGAGAAAGGGCTCCCTGCGTGAAGCGAAACGTGGCAATTCCTCTGGCTGCGTTTGTTGCTTAAACTGGTCACAGGCTGATGCTTTGGGGTTTTCAGCAAGTCTGCCTGGAATTTCCATCCTCTGGAAATATTCCAGAGTTTTGAGAAAAAGATTTGTCCCACTTCTGAATAAAAACTAAAGAAACTAGAGAGCTTTTGCAGAAAATCTGGGGGAAAAAAAGGCAACTGTTGGAACAACCCACATTACATTTTACAGCTGGCTAGGAGTCTTTTGGCCTGACACAAAAACAAATTCTCCAGTGAAACTGAAATTGTCTAACAGCAAATCATTCTAGCAGACAATTCCCCACTCATTTCCCTGTTAGTTCTTGGGTCTTTATTTCCTTGAATCTAAATACAAAACAAAAATTATTGCACAACCAAACTAAGAGTGAAAAAGTTCAACTCTTGAGCCATGAGTATGCAGGCATTGAGTAAATGTCACCTGAATGAATAGAGTGCAACAGATGGAGGTTTTAACGTTGTTCTTGCAAATTAATAATTAATTTATTTTTTAAAGTAATCATCATAAATCTTCCTAGAACAGATTGTTATTCTGCCTGTTATGATTCATTAAACCAGTGCAGAATGAGATCATTATCATTTAAGTTAGCATTCCTGAGGCTGCCAAATATCCTCCAAGTATTTCCTGCAGCTGGGACTGCAAGCATCTTCCTTGGAACTGGCAGCCTGCTTGCGCCATATCCTGCTCCAAGAGCTTCTTGTGCCTCTGGCCAGCCACACCATCATGCCCACAGGGACCCCAAGCCACTTGGGGTGGGTCGCTTTGCCTGACCCCCTCGGGCAGCAGCAAAATCAGAGGCTGACTTCAAGCTGCAAAGCTGTGTGTGTGTGGCAGAGAGGCATGGCTACCACCCTGAGGAGCTGGGACTGGAAAACGCTTCCCCACAGGTGGGCTCTCATCCACCCCAGCCTCCAGCTCAGCTGGCTGACTACTGGGGCACAGTGGTCTCCCATGCCTTTGGATAAATTGGGAGTTTTCTCTTTCTGTTGGAAATTCCCACATTGTAAAGCCAAAGGACGGACCAGGCAGAGTGGCAGCCATGGGAAGCAGGTTACCAAAAATAGGTTTTTTCTCTTTAATTTCTTTCTGGTGTAATTTCCTGACTGTGTTGTTGAAACAATGACATAAGGGGCAGGATGCAGCAACAGGGCAGACAGGAGCAGGTGAGAGCAAATGAGCCAACAACATATTTGTGTAGAAGAAAGGAAAAAAAAGCTGGCAGTAAGGGGAATTCACAAATTACCTGACAAAAAAGCACACAGCCATCCCCTGCCCTCGCAGCCACCTTGAGAGTCCTGTGACAAGTTAAGGATGCCAAAAGGGAAAACTAAAACCCAAACCAAACAAAAAGCAAACCACCACCCCAAACTGCAGCAATTACTTGACCAGGGCATTTTCACTTCCTAAACTGGGAGAGAGAAATTCCCCTAGGTCATCTGATCTCTGTTGAAACTAGACCAGGAAGAGGAGCAGTGGCAGTCAGCGAGTGCAAGGGCGTTCTCCAGCTGTACAAAAGCCTCTCACATGTGAGCCGGTGATCAGAGCAGCGCAGGGATGTGCGTGCGTATGTATACGCAGCAAGGCGAGGTGCAAATATCCTCCCAGCCAGATCATCTCTTGCACAACTCTCTGACTCTGTGCAGCCCAGCAGACCTTTTGTTTTTTCCTCTGCTGCTCCTCTCCAAGCATGCCTCCAGAGCAGAACTTCTGAAGAGCCGTTTCCTCCTGCACTCTTTCCTCCCACGCATCTCCCTGAAAAGAGTTCTCCCCAAGAAAAGGTAGTCGCCAGCAGCATGGTGGGGGTGACGGTGATGAGGATGTGGATTGAGCCAGTGGTCGCGGGTTCCCAAGTAGCCAGCGCCTTCTATGACACGGCACTGCTGCTGGTGGTGAAGAACTACTACAACCAGACCAACACCACTGCTCCTTCCCATGCACTGGAAGATGCTCAGCAGAAAGCTGTCTCTAATTTTTATATAATCTACAACCTAGTCCTGGGCCTGAGCCCACTGGTGTCAGCCTATGGCTTATCCAAGCTGGGGGACAGGATGCATAGGAAGATACCCATCTGCTTCCCTCTTCTTGGCTACTTGGGCTCCAAAACTCTCCTGCTCCTCCTGATGCTGCTGGGCTGGCCCATCGAGGTGATGTATGGGGCTGCTGCTGTCAATGGGCTGACAGGCGGTTTCACCACGCTCTGGGCAGGCGTCATGGCTCTGGCATCCCTGGGGTCCTCTGAGAGCAGGAGGTCTCTGCGGCTCATCATTATTGAGCTGGTGTATGGCCTCGCTGGCTTTCTAGGAAGCATGGCATCTGGCTACCTCTTTGTCGGCTTCAGTGACCACTATCAAGAGGGCACTGTGCTGGTGGGCTGCAGCATCGCTTGCTATGCTTTCTGTCTCCTCTACAGCATTTTTGTCCTGACAGTCCCCAGGCCAGCTGCTTTCTGCCCAGCCAAAGCCAAGAGTGCAGAGGAGGTGGGCAGCCAGCTACCAGCCCACACAGGAACAGGAGCAGCAGCGGCAGCAAGTTCCCAACCTTCGGAGAGCAGCAGCTCCACTCCAGTATCCCCCTCAAAACTACTCATCATCATGCTGTTTGCGGCAGCAATCCTCTATGACCTTGCCGTCGTTGGTGCAATGAACGTACTCCCACTCTTCTTGCTTAGGGAGCCTTTAAGTTGGAATGCTGTGGAGATTGGCCATGGCAATGCTGCTGGGTACGTGATCTTCATCACCAGCTTCCTAGGGGTATTTGTGTTCTCCCAGTACCTGAGGGACATTACCATGATCATGATTGGAGTGGCATCCTTCAGCGCTGGCATCCTCATTATGGCCTTCGTGCAGTGGACGTTCCTGTTCTACATCGGTGAGTCGAACAGCCACTCGCATGAGCAAGTGCACCTTGAGAAAGGGGCTGGGGTCTTTCGACATCAGGAGGAGGGCTTTTGCTCTGCTTCACTGTGAGTTTCAGAATAGGGAGCTTGGCAGACCGTTGCACGAGCAATTCCCCAGGAAGATTCATTATCATTCCCCTCTCCTCATATCTCCCTTTGTACTCTTACACTCAGCACCCTACAATATCCAGAGGAGGCATACACTCCTGCCAAGGCTTAGTTTAAGGTTAGTTGACTTGTAATTTGTCACTTGGTCATAGCCCAGATCTGAGCAGGGGAGCAATGCTCACACAGTGAGGGAGTGGGAATTGTTGCTGGCTACCTGTACTAGTTGGACCACGCTGCTGCATTGATGGGAAGCACTTGGGTTTTGTGAGGTAAGGCTTAAGGCTACAACAGAAACAAATTGGCGAAGTTTTCCTATTAAGCAAACATCTTAAGATGTGATTTATTTTTGTTACATTAAGGCATTTATGGCTGATGGGAAGCTTAATAGCAAACCATTGGAGCTGCTTTAGCAACTAAAATATCATGATAATGTAGTGTACGGAATCTTACACTATGTACAAATGACCAAGGGACGGATAACTATAGATGGGGCAGCATCCCATGATGAAGGAAAGGCCAGTTTATTGTTGGGAGGTAGCCTCTGCAGGAATACAGATAACAAAACCCAAGAACCACATCCATTGTGGCAGTGAGATGGATGATACTCTGTTTGTCAGATATGAATCATGTGTTGCATGGCTTTGAGGTTTTGCTTCTGAAAGCGAGAAAAAGATCTAAGAGAAATGGCCTGAAGCAATTTTTCTGTCTGCCCCTACAGGGAATGAGAAATTGAAAAACCAAACAAAGTTATTCTAAAGGAAAAGATGGTAGGATATTATATTTGTGTACTAAGCCAAACACTGAGTGAAATTTTTAAGAGATTTTGTTTGTTTAGGCAATCAGGCTGGGGAACAAAAAATAAAAAATTAAAATAAAAAAATGCTTCTTAATATTAACTCCGTCGTGAACACACATTGCTACACACCGTGCAGGATGCTTACTCCCTGCATTGCAGAAACACCTCAGTACACTAGACATGAATCGAGTTTTCACTGAGGTTGGTTCTGCTGACAGGAAGGTAATTCCAGCTCCCAAAAAGTTTCCACACTAGAGAAAGCTTAAAATAATGCAAGCCAGAAGCACCCAGGTAGAAAACAGCTGTAGTGTCATAAAGGTACCGTTTCTGTCAAGGTCATGTAGCATGGGGTGCTCCCTCTGCTGGTTAGACTCTTATCAGCCTCACTATCTCAAAGGACAGTGCTATATTCCATCTAAACTTGGTTTTCAGGCCGAGACCAAGAGACCACAGCTGGTTTGGGCAAAGTCCCTCTGCTAGTGGGAGCAATAGGTGGCTTATCCACCATTGCTTAGATGAAGTGAGGACCTACACTCCTACCAAAGATTTGTGCTTCCTTTGGGTACTCAAGGGACAAGAAAAGGTGAAGCACAGTCCCTGCCCAACCCAGAAGCAGTAGTTGTGTGGGGAAACAAGGAGCAGGTACTGATGACTACATATTCATTGCATTGCAGCACGGGCAGTGATGCTGTTTGCCCTCATCCCCTTACCAACCATCAGGTCCATGTTATCCAAGCATGTTGAAGGATCATCCTATGGTAAGTACTTCAGTTACCTTACTGATCAAAAAACCTCAAATCCCTCCATTCAGCCTAAGGTATAAAGAGAAAGGTAAGTTATTGCTGCAATCTGTGCTTTACATAATAAAACCACAACAGCTGATACCACAAATGAGAAGGGAGGAGCAGAGAAACTTGCAGAACAAGATTGTCACATCCAAACTTCTCATCCTCGGTTGCATCATCATTTATCCACAAAATTTTCAGTACATGCTTCAAGAGATTACTATCAGTGTGCAGGTCAAAGTCAGGGAAAATATCTGGGTTGCGGCTCAAAAACACAGTACTCCAGGGAAAACCAAGAGGAGGACTGTGATATTCACACCATTTATATTTGGCTTCTTTTACTTCCAGCTTTGGGAAGGATGGATTTCTTTCATCTTTTTTCAGTTATGCTCTCTAAACACATCTCCAAATGTTACCTGGCAATTTGTTCCTGTCAGACCACAATTTAACTAACAAACAATAACCTTTGCATAACAATTGGCCCTTTTTGGTACACAGGAGCAGAAATTCTTTTCTATGGAAAAATATATTAGAAAATAGTAATACACATATATTTCACAACACCGTACTGAAGGCTACTATTTTTTACCCCAATGAGCTGGATTTAGACACAACAGATGGGACTGGTCTTGCATTCAAATAGCACCTAAGGCCCATGACTGCTCATGCCTCCTCCAAACATGTTCTCACAGCCATCCTTTGCATTCTTTTCCCTTCTGCCATATGAACACGACACTCCTCTGTCACCAGTTCATTCCTACTGCTTCTGCTCCTCAGAGTGGTCCGTAGCAAATTCACCTACCTGCCACAAATAGCACAGCTCACACCCCAAATTAATCCTTATTATTAATTAATTTTTAACCTCCACCACGAGCCATACAGGCTGCACCTGGTTCCAGCGGCAGGCCAGCTCTCAAGCAGGACCATGCAGCCAAGCAGCCCTTGCCTCTTGGAAGCAGTATTGTCTCCTTAGGTGGTGGCTGCTCGCACTGTGCAGCTGGAGAAGGCTGCCAGGGCAGCAAGCTCAGCACACAGTCCTGACCTTGCTCCCAGTTTGCACATCCTGGCAGGGCTGGGTTACTCCCGCTTCCCCCATTTACCACGACAGAAACAGACGGGTGCACTTCAGCAAAAACGCTCTTTCAATTAGAATTCAGTTTCTGCCTTTCATCCACCCTAAACATCATACAGATTACACGCACTTCCCCATTTCAGGCATTATTATGATTTTAACCCAGTGGACCACTCTTCTGGCCTAGGGCAGAGGCAGACCCTGACTAATATCTCCCCTGTCCTGAAGGTGTTAGTCCAAGACTACTTTTCTACCTCCTAGGGAAAGGAGCACTTATTGCCCAGTTTATTGCTGCTCTGCCAAGTAGCCACCTCTAATCTAGACTGTTTAAGCAGACAGTTTTCCTTTTGGATCTTTTGTCCTATGCCTAAAAGAAGGGAAAGTCATTTAATTCTGGTCTAGAACAGAAGAAGATACAAGCTCACGCCATCTGGCACTTATGAAGCAACGACCACATCGCTCTTCCACACAGTGGTGTTCCTGGAATCGTCAGGGAGGTACCAGAGCTGGTTTTTTCTCCCCGGTAACAAACTATGTTCTTGTTTTACAGGTAAGGTGTTTGTCCTGCTCCAGTTGTCTTTAGTCACCACGGGAGTAGTCACATCTACAGTCTATAACAAGATCTATCAAAACACACTGAACTGGTACAGTGGCTTCTGTTTCATTTTGTCTTTTCTAGTCAGCTGCCTGAGTCTCCTCCCTTTAAGGTAAGGAATAGGAAGGGTTTTGTCCAAAAGCACATGCTGTTATTTTCTCCATGCTTCCTGACTCTAGGTCTAATACAGATAGGAAAAAATAACTTTTTTTTTAATTAAAGAGAAACAAAAATCTTGCAGAAATGTGTTGACAAATATCAAAGAGATTCAAAGAAAGAAACTTGCAAGTGATTTAGCCAATTTTTTTAAACTTCTTTTTGTTTAATGTAACATGAATTGCTGTCAAAGGAATACTTGGCAGTTTAAGAGCTGATAACCCCAGGGGACAAAGCCTTCACACAAATGTACTGCTTGATATTGCAAAAATAGTAATAAGTAGAATGAGGGAATAATCCTACACAAAGTAAAACATTTTTTAAAAAATCCATTACAGGTTACTTATTGTGATAGAAAAGAATAATCTGAGTCTCCTCCAGGTGTTTCTTTCAAAGAGAAACCATTAACGCATAGTAAGGATATAGTTACTTTTCTGATCCAGGCAATTTGCCCAACTGTACAGCTACAGAATGACTGAGAGGTACAATTTCAAGAAAAAGTTTTAAGCACACAACCAGCTTAATTTGAAGAGACAAAGCTGAAACAGCATCTCCATCTACTCTTCCAGAATTTTCGATGGATCTCCCTCCAAATCTGACCTTGCCTGTCATTCTCTCCGCATGACCCTCCAGCTCATTGCATTACTAGAAGCAATGAGACTCTTCCAGTATGAAGTTAAAGTGAATAGCTATAATGTCAGTATTTAATCCACGTAACAAGAGTATTTTCATTCAGATACAAGGCAAGTACTGGCTAGGCTAATGTCTGATCCCAGGCAAAATTCTTGCCAAGTTTTGCTGTAATTTTTTAAAAAACATAACAGTAAAAAGTCTAAAGGCAGTATGTATACCAACTTCACTGTTATCACTTAGGAAGAAAAGAAAAAGCAGCACTAAGGAAGGCTCCTACACCATCAGCTGTGCCTCACCCAGAGCACCAAAGGCTTTCCAGGCTTGTGAACATGTCTGACACCTGGTGTCAGCAGGACTACAACTGTGGGGAAGGCTACTTCATACTCATCATTCCCCTGGCTTTGCCCTCCTCCTCCTATTTTCCAGACACAAGAGTGACTCTGCACAACGCTGCTGTTAACAGCAAGTCACTGCTAGCTACTCAACTGCTTTTTAATACAGGCTCCAAATAGAAGTTAGCACCATTATCACCACAAACTCAGGTTATTAGGACTTCAGAGTCTGAAAGAGGACAAATGGTGCCAACGTCATTGTTTGTACACAGGAATAACTTACAGAGAGGCTGGCAGATCCTTGAGAGGAATCACATGAGCACTCAGCCAGCTCCAGACACCCCAGCAAAGTTTAAGCTAAAGAATTGATGGGGCAAAAGCAAACTGTAGCTTGAAAAAGTAGTTTGCTAGCTCTCTTGTAACCTGCATTTTTATTGCTCTTTACAGCATTGTGGCCATCAAACAACGTTCAACCACTGGCTCCCTTCAGATTCTGACTGAGTGACAGAGGCTGTACAAGCTAAAGCATCTTCTGGTCCTTATCAACTCTCTGAGCTACCAAAGTGGAAGGTTTGCCAAGCATTAGTCCCCACAATTATCATCATTACAGGAAGCATCTCATTTGTGTTTCCATTTCACAGCATGCCGTGGCCTCTCAGCCACTGAGCTCACCCATGACAAAGAAGTTTGCCTTGTGTATTTCTGCAGTACATCATGTTGCAGAGTACATGCATTGGCTATTGCACACCAGCAGTCTTCAGAGCATTTTGCTTTCCTGCTAGGCTGGTTAGCAATAGTGCAGAGGGATGAGAACAGGGTAGAAATGAAGACACATCCTTCAATGTTGAAGGGGAAAGCAGAGGATCAGTTTTTCCATTACTTCCTTCTTGTCTGTTCCTTCAGAAACCTCAGAGCAGTTCTGTGACTTTGGCTGATGAAGCAGGGGTCCACAAGCCACATGCTGCATGCACACAGTTGTCAGCAGGACAGACCTGCTCTCCGAGTGCTACAGAAGATGTGTCAGCCCAGCCAATCAATGTTACGTAGAAGACCACTAAATACAGAAATACCACTGTAAAAAAAAAGTAAGATTAAGACACTTTTAGTAATCCCTGCAATAAAACACTCCTGAACAGATGTTCATGCCTCTGAATTCTGGGAGATTGTCCCGCTGTCCCTGGACAGTGCTTTAACAGAGCTCATGGGAGGACACCTATGACTCAAGAGCCGATACCAGCATTTCAACTCACACCACCAGGACATAACACATTAAGAACAGGTAAGTGCAGCACACTATTCCTACAGGCTTTACAAAGGTGTAGTGACACTAATACCAGGTAACAGTCACCTTATTACATCAGCTTTATACTGGGTTGAAACCCCTACCAAAAGGAACCTCATACAATACAGCCACTGGCATGAGATGTTGTCAGCTCAGTCCAAACATGATTCAAAAGACTGGCATGCCCCAGAGGGATGAGGGCTTAAATTATGTGTCTACTTACATGCTAATTGAATTACAAGGATTAAGCAGCTTCCAAGCTCCTGGACTAAGTAATGGCAAGTTAAAAGCCCTTCAGTAACCAAAATCATCTGGAGGCAAATCAGGCAGCTCCAGTTCAAGCCAGGGATGCAGCAAGCAGAAGCTGATTACTCACTATGCAAGCCCTTTCTGAGAAAGTTGCTGCCACCCCTGTTCCCCATAGACACACACTCTTGCAATCTTTCCTCAGCTCCAGACTTCACTTTCAAGTAATACTAAATGTACTACAACAACAGATGGATGACTTTTAGTTAAATCAGCAGTGGAACAAGATTTTAAGGGAAGAGTATTTCTGCAGCATGATAGTGAGCTGCCCAGCAAAATAAGTGCACACATCATTTCAATGGCAAAGTCTGCAAAAAATGAAACTTTACATTCTAGGTAAAGGAGTAATCTTTTAATACATTTATTGGTCCATTCCATTAAATTAATTGAGGTAAACAAACAGTGCATTTTAAAAAATGTACACACTAATAGAGAATTACAAACAGTTTTACCTCAAAGTGTTTTTCTCCATCAATACTAGTTCCATAGTAAACAATGCACAAAGTATATTTATACAGAGATATATGAAAGGGTATAGAAACATGCCAGCACCAGAAGGCAAGACAACATTTCCTAGCCTGCGAGTCTGAACAAGAGCATAGTTGCCAGATTTGGTCGAGTGCAGGAAGCAAAAGCCTCCTTCCCATTTTTACATTGTTGACTAGCTAATTCACAGAGAGACAAATCTTTTCACAGCTTTCATTTTGGTTTTTAATGGTATGAACAGTGACTCTAGTTCTGGTAAGTGGGTTCACAGAGGCTGAAAGCAGAAGAGTCTGGGGGATGAGCCAGCACCATTTTGGTCCCCAGTACTGACACCTTCAGCAAGGAAGGGGATGAGACCACCTCCACTCACAGCCAGCTTGCCTTCACCTGCATGACCCAACTCTCCAAACCTTAAGAAGGGACAGAGGGATGCAGGCACAGAGGAAGAGAGAACAAGGATGGTGCTGTTTTATTTTCAAATACTAAAGACAAAAGCCCTTTGGCTGTTTGCTATCGTAAGACTGTCCCTCTGCAATCTGTCTCCCTGTGCAGTGCGGATGTAGCACTGGCCCCAACCCTGCTGCTTGACCTGAAGATAGGGATTAATATCCCAGCAGCAGAGTTAAGGAAATGGTTTAGCTTCAAAGCATACAGTACCAAGGCCTTCAAAGTAGTCTAGGACAGCAAGTAGCCTTTAATGTTTTAGCATGTCACTTACAGAAGGGTAATCTACTTACGCCTTTTTGGAAAGTGCATTATTTTCTGCACAAGTACTGTGCCTTAGCCATGCAACCTTAAAACTAGCCCAGTTCATTACTGGGTACTTGTACAGGTTGGATACCGTGGCAAGACTCCAAAGTGCTAAGCATAGAATTAAGCATTGCCATTTTATTCCATAAAATTGGTTAAACAGCACCCCCAAAAAGTTTAAAATGCAACATTCACACTGCCAGAAGGCAAGTTTATTCCTGTGATCCCCAGTTTTACTTTACAGTAAAAAAAACCAAACAAAACACAAACCTGGCAAGTAGTAGCAACTCCCCTACCTTAAAAAAAAAAAAAGACCCCATTTTCCCTATTCATTGGTTGTTGTAGTAAAAGTTAATATACCAAGGGAAAGACTGTTCTACCTTCAGAATTTAAGAAGGATGAACATCTAATGAGCTAGTTTAGTCTATGCAATTTTGCTCAGTGGTTATCAGCACCAGGATTTTAACAGTCTGCAACTTTAATCATAATCAGTTAAATTGTGCAAGTTTTAACAAAAGCATGGCTCCTGTTAAAACACTGAACAGTCCCTGGTGGGCTGGGAGGGAATTCTTTGTACCTTGGCATCTGCAGGACTGACACCTGAAACAATATGCATCGCAAACAGACTATGCAGAGCCACTGCTGCAAGGCTACCTCACAGTACCTCTGCAGTACCGTCTCTGCCACTCATGCTTTGCAGATGTTTCTCTCTACCACTCATCCCACTACTATATCTTTAGCACAAGTGTCAGTATGACAAAAATCCAAGTAGGCTTCAGTGAAGAATCCATAGTTTATTCTTTGATACAACTCACATCAGAAGAGTTCGTGTCTTTAGGGCTACACCTATTACCTTTTCATTTTTCAATGGATACCTGAAAAAGCCATGATGTTTCAACATCTATGTTTATTGCAAGAATCAGAACCTGGTAAGAATACATATGAACAATGCACGGTTCGTTACCGAGCATGAAAACAAGATCTCAGTGCTTGGTTTATTGTGCTGGTGCCAGTTAAGAGAAGAAACAAACACCCCAGAAATTACACAGAAGTAACCAGGACAGCAGTGAATCATGCATCCTCTGAGAGGGAACTTGGTCTGGCTATGGATTACAAGGAAAACTGGGCTAATTTAAGGACTGTTGAAGGTGCTGCATGTTACATAGGCTTATAGAAAAAGTGCAACTAATTTTGACATCATTTTAGTGCATGTGCAGAGGGTGACCTTAAGTGACTGAACACTCAAGTTATTCAAAGATTAAGCTTCTGCACTACTCCTGCTTCCCTCTACCAACACCTCTTACTTTTCACACTTAAAGTTTGGGCCATCCAAAGGACAGCCTCTATCCTGTAAGGATTACAGGATAACATGTCAGAGTTTCACTAACAGTTCAGATCTTAACCTCTCACTAACAGCAGTTAAGTAAGTGCACCCTTTACAAGTGTCACCTCTTTACATCTCACAGGAGTTTCCTGCTCTTTTGTAGTTCTCCTGTTTCGCACTGCTGCCCCACACCTCACAGCCTCTCTCACAGTTACCTAGTGATTTACAACAGCTCTTTATAAAAGAGACTCCTCCGTAACCCACAGGAGCCGAGAGACCCACCACTACACATCCTTACACTGCAGCAATTCTTACAGAGGACTCTTGTTTTGAGTATTTACTTCCCTTGTAGGGGCTTAAGAGGTTTTGGTGTTCCGGATCATTAAGAAATCCTATCAGTGGCCACAGCCTGAGGCACATGTTCCAACCTCTCCTCCAAATCAACTTGCAGGTGTCACAGAGCAATCTACTCCAACAGGGAAGTGCAAAGCATGCCCGCCTTTCAACAGCTTAGCCAGAAAAGGATTTACCTGAATTTGAAACATATTTTGGATGAGGACTAGTTTAAAAACTATGCTGCAGAATCAGTGGCATCAGACTAAAGAAAATTTAAGCTGACCTTCAACAGCTCCACCCTCAATGGTTACATGTTGATTTGAACTTTACTTGGTACTCCCCTCTATCCATTATGCTTCTCATGAACAGCTGTGATGTCAATTGCTAAATTCCCCACAACCAATACCCACTTCAGTTTGACATAAAACTAAGAGGGAACAGGACCTCAGTGTTGTAAGGCATCAGACAAAACCTACTCAATTATAGGAAAAAAAACACCAACCTTTCTACTAATCTTTCACTTTTTTTTTTTTGACAAGGTGAAGGGAAGACTGTCTAAATATTAGTTCAAATTACATTTTGCTTGACTCCCAGTGATGTTGCAGAGTCAACTACAAAATTCCATTTACCACACAGGAACCAGCTCAAAAAAGCATGTTTATCTCTGTTTGTGGGAAATAGGGAAGACTGTTACTCTGAAGGTCAGACTGTTAAGAGTATGGAAGTGCTTATTTTAGAAGGGAGACATTGAGGAGAACACTTGGTTACTGCTTCAGTATGATCCCTTTAAGCACTTCCCTTGCACCACAAGTAGTTTGTCATTCTGGACAAAACAGCAACTTAAAGCAGAGTTCTTATTTACACCAAATAAGTATATATTGACAAACTGTGATCTTAAACCAAAAAGCATAGTTTGTTTAGTACCACAGAGTTGTCAATGGAGGCTGAGTCAAAAAGGAAGACCGCTTAAAATGTCTTAAACTTGACTTTTGCACCCAGAGAGCATCATCTCATTAGCCTGACAGCTACCACATTGCTGCAATAACTCATCTTGACAGTTGCTACAAAGTCACCAAGCTTAGTAGGGGAGCCTCAGGTGTTTATGAAGAGATAAAGTCCAAACCAGACTGGTACCTGGTAGGTCGTCACAGAACACAGAAATTGCACATACTCAATTACTGCTCAGATTCTTCACAAGAATGTTGCCAGAAATAAGTAATGACTCAAGTTTAGCAGTAAGCACTCAATTATTTGTACCACCAAATTCCAATATTACATTGATATCAGCCCCAACCCCCCTCACTTAGGATGGTTAAAAAGGATTTATCTGCATGCTGTTAAACCAAGACTCTGGGACCCTGGAAATTGCAGCAGCATTCCTAAGGCCATTAACACCAAGTAGGCATTTACTTGAGGCGGGACTGCAAAAGAAAGGGAAAAAAGGGGACTTGAAGAAGCAGTTACATTTCTAAAGGCCAATAAAAACTACTAAGAAAATAGATCTGTACCAAAAGTAGTCTTAGAAGACTTGCCATGTGGTTCAGTAGAGACAGGTATGAACACTACGTGTACCTAATAGGGTAGCCATCCACCCCCACCAACCTGTTTAAGGCAAGTTTCACATACAATGATGCTTGGTGTAAGAAAGCATTTGACACTTTTTGGCTTTTGGCTGCTGCAAAAAAACATGGGGAGAGAAAGCAGAGTTCTACCTTTACTACAGCAGGCACCTAAGTGATCAAGCCCAAACTGGCTCTAGTTCAGAAAAAAAACAAAATCCAAAAACATTTAAAGCATGGACCAAGAGAACTCTAACATGCAACTTCTAGAGCTAGCTTTAGAAAAAAATACACTAAAGACTCACACTTGCTTCCACCATTCCCATAAGCCTGGAAAGGCCACTGTTCAACTCACTCCCGCAGCTAAGCTGATTTTAATTCCCAAGTCAGTCACAAGTACACTTCAGCCAACTGACATTACTTCATAATCACCAAGGTAAACAAAGATACTCAGTATGAACCAACAGCATGCCACACTCACAAAAACCACAGTTCATGCTTGCATCACAAGCTATCTGCAAGTGGTATTGGTATGTTCTGTCTAGGACCAGCCCAACTCCCACACAGAAAAGTCTCCAGAAACCATTTTATCCAGAGGGACCATATGGGTGGTAGCAAAACAGAAAATACTCATTTCCAGCCTTTCCCTGTCCATCCAAAAAAAGGGATAAGGATTGGTTAGGGAGTACTGTATCATAGGAATAATTATCATCTTTTTTTAGCAAACAAAGCAGAATGGTAATAAAGATGTCATTTGGCACCTTGCAGTAGAGTTTTATTTTCATCTTTTCAGCGTTCCACTCATCAGTTCCTTCCAGACTAGAGAGGTAAGTTTTATCAAGATCCCCGTGCACTTTCACTATGAACCCCCAATCACTCCATAGGATAAAGAAGGAACCATTCAAGGTAACTCAAAAAGATGAAACATACCCCAGTTTTAACACAGAAAGTGAGGAAAAAAATTCAAATTGTTTTCAGAGCGTCTGTTCCAGCCTAAGTGCAGCTGGCATTTCGGTTAACTTGACAAAAGGAGTCCTTCATACAGTTCCAGTATGTCTAGTGGTACTGAGCATCGAAGTGCTAGACTGTCCATGAAGGTACTTCTTATTTGGTCTCTGGCTTGTCTTGCAATAGTGGTATAATTGACTCCCACGCCGTAAGGCACTGAAGAAAGAAATAAAGATTTAAAAAATGGATTGTACATCAGTTCTTGTAACTTTTGACCAACCCTTCCAGACCAACAGAATGCGAATTCAAGAAAGGCTAGCCAGGTCTTTATAGATTATTACAGAGGGGGAAAATAACAGAATCTCAAGCAGCAAGAAAGTGTTCAAAAATAACAGCTGCAGTTTCCAAAGACAACAAGTTAAAGCTTTCCAAATTTATCAGCTGGCCCAAGCCATTAAAAATCATCAGAATACCCAGGATTTCCAAGTACCAAGCTAGTTTCTAAACTGAAGAACACCACAGCTTTCAGCTAGGCAGACAAACTGTTTCTAGTAGAAATCCACGTCTTTGCGGTGTGACTGTGGGAAAGGGCTGATTTGAACACAATGGCAGCTATTATGGACAACCTCCAGCAAACTTATTTGAAAAACCCATGCATTTAGGGAAGATAGTTCAGAGACATGGTATACTCCATCCAGTACACCTCTGGGACTTGACTCCACTGCATGATGAACTGGTAGGGCTTGGTATAGCAAAATAAAAGTGGATCCTAGATTCTGGGTTATTAGAATGTCACTCCAGGCTTTGGAGTCATTTCCCCAGACACATATACTTACTCCAGTGCTGTGTTATCCTTAGTGTCTTTCAACCATGTACAGCCCAGAAGTCAAACCTGACAAATATAGACTGTGGAATACATATTATTAAACACTGGGAATGGGCAAGCTCATCACCAGCCCTTATACCCACAAGTCACTGTTGTCAAGCATCTTCCTTCTAATCTTGCTGATCATACTGCAGGTGAATAGAGTATTTCTAGTTGTGTATCCTGAAGCAATTAGGCACTGTCCCACCAAAAAGCTTCCTTGCTGCAACTAAGAGCAAAAGATGTACAGCAATTGCAGAGGCACTGCTGGATGTTCAGTGGAGTCTTTAATACCCTCCTCCTGAGCAGTGTCAGAAGAGAGAAGAGACCAGGGTGAAGGAAGTTCTGTGGGACTACTTGTGAATTACTGAAGAGAGACACTGGAAGGGGCAAAGTAACTGCATATTAATATTACGTGGAGAGGTAACCTAGCACAGGAAGAAGTTTTTAAAGTAGATGTGGAAAAAAGCAATAAGCAAGAAGATGAAGTATGTCACCATGCGTAAGCCTAGTAGTGTCTAATGTATCAACCACTTCATTGGGCAGCACTGTTCTAGCATGAAGGAAGATGAGATTGGCAGCATATGCAGTTAAATGTCAAGGCCTTTTCACTTAAAAAAATAAAATAAAAAAATGACACTGAATCTCAGGTACACATGCACCAACTGAAAAAGGGCAGAGGCACCTGACTAGGTATTTCCAGGACTAGCATACAAGTGACAGAACTATGCACAAGAGGACAGAGATCAGAATAATTTATGCATAGCAGGTGTAATCTATATATTGATCCATGGATGTACATTAACCCATGCAGTTTGGCTCATAAAAGGCAGAATCAAGAAGTTTTCTAGTCTGGTAGTATTACTATAATATTGAATTTCGGTCTTTTTCATCGCCACTACTGCTGCTCTAATTTGAACACTAATTTGTTCAATTAAAGAATGCAAGACAGACGAGCATCCAGGATGAAATGCTGTTACAGGGTTGCCTTGCGAAAGACTGCTAGTCTCACGCAGATTGCTTCAGCGTGACCAGCAACTCAACAGATTACACTAAGCTGCTGACAAAGAGCAGCTTCCGCAGCACTAGAGAACTGATTTAGATGTCCAAGATTCTTTTCTTCAAGACAGCGTGAAGATTTCCTGAAAAATCATCACCACCTCAGGGGAAAATGAACTACTCTTATTCCTGCCAATGTTCCAGCAGTGCCACGTACCTTCTCGTAGTACTGGATGTTTTTATCTGCCATCCCCATGAGTAGCTGCCTAAAGTCTTGCCTTTTGTTGTTCTGCCATCTCTCCATATCTGCTTTCAGGTCAGCATTGAAACACTCTACTCGATCTTGACATTTCTCAACATCTGTGGGTACCTGCAGCAAAAGAAATTAAGATTGAAACCATCACTGAGAGTGCTAGGCTGCTGAATTAGCTAAAACCTCACTGAGGAAGCTACAGAGGAAAGGGTAAGTTAACAGCCCAGTAGTCATCCTGAATAAACTCTGTTATGGCTGCAGGGAGAAAAGCCCCAATTCTGTATTAGTGAGGAGATGGGATTGCTTAATTTGTTCTCTGCTGTTTGAGGTGGTGGGCAGTTGTGCTTGTCCACCTCCATGCCAGATACAGAGGCAGACTGAGGAAGAGCTTGCTAGAGGCACATAAAGAGGAAACCATTTGGTCTGAGTACTGGGTGCCTAGCTCAGTTCCTAGTTCTCAAACTGAGCAGCGTGACTACAGCTCCAGAGCGAGCTTTCTCTCCTCCTTCCCATTTAGAGTTGCACTAGTCATTTCCCAATTTACACTAGTGTGTATGAAACAACAAACATTTAGGTTTGTCCAAAGAGCTGGATAAGAGACCTCAGTGTTATCTCTCAACCATAGTATACAAACAGCAGTGATCAGCTACAGTTGCAGAATAAAATTCCTAAGCCTCTACTCTCTAGCTTCCACTTTTAACCTTACAGACTGCCTGAAAAAAAAATAATAATAATGTTAAGTGCAAAGCACTGATGATCATCACTGTGGATTGGCTCATGGGCCTTTGGGCTCAACACTGGACATGTAATCACACATAAGCAATCGGAGAAATCTTGAAGGACAGCCTATTGCAAGCCTCGGTAGAGATTTAAATGGATTATGACATTAGTCATCGGCCCAAGGTAGATGCACTTTAGGCCAAAGAAGTTGGTGTTCTTTGCTTATGTTTTAACTAACAACACGTATACCACCAGGCAACTACAGGAACAATTTACAAACGTTTCTTCAAGCAGGAAAGCCACAAACACCTTTCTCTTCCTTCTCCTTGTGCCGCTTGGTCCACACAGATGGGAAGCCTGTAAGGATGTGCAGACTAGGCCCATGACCACAGAAGAGGAAAGCCCTGAGCTGTTCAAGACACCTGAAGCACCTCCTTCATCCTCATGGGATTTGAGTACTCCTTTATTCACACAACTGGATTTACTCTACAGGCAGCTTGGGGGTTCAGTAGCTACACACTTCCCCCACCCTCTCTGAGCACCATACTTCTAGCTACAGAATCCAATCTGCTACAACTCCAGACATGGAGTTCTCTTGTAGGCTTCAGACAAGAACTACCAAGCCAGTGGCTAGGAAGTTTAGAAGATACTCCCCTCAAGGCAAGTATGCCCTGTGTCATATTTGCAAGTACTCTGCTATCTTAATGGGAAAGGGTAGGCTATCAAGAGAAAGAGTCATGAAGTCTGGAAGCAAAACCATATAAGATTTCCCAATCCAATTAAGTTAGTTTCTAAGCACTCACCAGCTTCCTGCTTCTTCTGCTAGGATCTGAAACCACAACGAAGCTATTAAAAAAAACAAAAACAAAAAACAACCCACCGTTCTTTCTCACAGCCAGTTCTCCTGCAGGTCAGGCCGAGAGGGCTGTATGAGTTCAGAGCTACAGGGTCAATCCAGTGGTCAGCAAATGTGTCACATACATTTTAATTAAGGAACGACAGCAATGAACTCCAGCTAAGTCTCCACAGGCATCATGAAAGCAGTGTCTACACATGCGCCAGTCCTATTTGGGAGAGTAAATACCTTTCCTTCCAAAACTGCAGCTTCCCAGAACAGAAGTTGCAACTCAGTAGTCGAAACAAAATGTTAGGTTAATTAACAGCTTTTAAGCACTTTATATCTACTGCAAGGTTAATGAAAAGAGAGGTTCTAGTTCTAACATCAAATTTGGGCTTAAGTTAAAATATCAATGCTGATGTATCTGCTTTTACCAGTGCAGATATTCATTGTTAGCTAGCAACTAGGAACTGAGAAGAAAGAAGATTGCACTTTGGGGGAAGTTGCTACTTTCTTAATGATGGCTGCTCTCAGCTATTTGAATAGCTCAAAAAAAACCAAACCCCAAAATCATGTGATAACTGGCTCAAACTGCAATAAACTCTGGAAGGGCCCATCACTATTTTAGTAAGCCAACTTAAACTGAGAAGAGATGAACATGCAGGCAAGAACTGAGCATAAAATTGTATATTCAGGAGTCTGGTCACCTCATTATATGATAATGTTAGTTCTGCACCTACATTTATTCCTCTTCACATAGTTCTTCAAAAGACCAGAGTCTAAGTATGCTTCACATCTAGAATTTAGCGTGGTCAAGTACAAATGGCATTGCTTGCAGCATAAGCATGTCCACTTTTTCAGAACTCCTCTACAGCGTCATTACCACGTAACAAATGGTCCTGAAGCACAGCAAATACAACACTTATTAGGCAACTAATCTCTGTATATGATATTTCTACCTTCCTAGTTCTCTGGAAACATATACTGTTTTGGGGTTTTTTTTCTGTAAATACACATGGTCATCTTCTACTTCAAGTTCTGCACTGCCATATTTACTGTTCCCACAGATCACCACACTGCAAAGCCTTAAGGCAGACAGAATAAATTCAGCCATCAGAGGTGGACTTCATCTCAAAGGGAAACAATGCCTGTATTTCACCATATTGGTTGGATTACTGCAAAACCAGCTCCAGTGTGGGTCAGAAATGGGTAAGAAGCACTTCACCACTGTACATGTTAGAAATAGAAAGGCTGCAGACCCTGCACTAACACTGTTATGCTAGCGTTAAAAAACACCACACACACTATGTTTTTGGTGTAAACTTCAGCACTCTTGAGCAGTATTTGCTGACAGACATTTACAGTAGCCCTACAAGCCTTCTGCATTTATAGGCCACCAAGTTCTAAGGTGATCATCTCAACGTGAGAATGACCTAATGACACCGACAGAGCTTTGTGAAGCCAATCTGATTATGTGTACAGAGAGTCTCAGAATGCCCTCCAGGGGAAGAGATTAACAAGTAATGATAGGCCCTTATTTCGTGATCCAAAAGTAGGCCTTTTTTCCCTTAAGGTCTGGGGGGCTTTTGGGTTCTGTTTTGTTTTTTTTAACATAATTCCTGCCAAATCAGCTAAATATGCCGAAAGGAACACAAATGCCGTTCACTGCATAACCCAGCTCATGACCCTCTGTCTGCTTTTAGTTTCCAGCAGGGAAGCCAGGAGACCTCACTGAATGTAAGATGTGGGGCTAGCCACAGCTCTGAGCTACCAGCTCTTACAGACGAGGACATTCCCTTCAGGTGGAACGATCTGAAAATCTTGAGCTAGTATTTTAAGAACATGCAAGGAGTTCTATTAGTTTGTTCAACTTCAACTTGTAAATGACACAAAAGACTTATCTTAGAAAAAAGGTACAAGGACTTGCCAAAAGATATGCTTATACTCTGGAGAGGAGACATAAGTATTCAAAAAATTCTTAGACAGCTATTTAAGTGCTGTGCTTTACACAATAATCCCAGAGAGGTGAGGTGCAAAAGCCTTTCAGCAGCTGAGACACTAGTAAAGTTCAGCGGTTCCACTGCATCAAAACCTTGATAAAGTCAAATGCCTAAAAACTGCAATTGGCTTGCTGGATATGCTAGATTTAGTTCCCTTCATCCTACATACAACTTGTTAGAATACCAGCTCATACAAACCTACACTGAGGAAGTAAGAGTACATACCACACCAGCCAGCAGTGGGGCAGGCAAAAGACTAAAATACAAGAGCACCACAAGATACCTAAGACACCACTATTTGTAGAGTCCACAACAGACACAAGATCAGAAAAATACTAGTTTGCATTTCTATGCCCTGGTCCTCTTCAGCTTCTTAGATTCAAGACATTATGTGAACCTCCTGTAAGATTATTGTACAGGAGTCCTAATACTGGAAAGTAATCTATTAATTATTAACACAAAGGGGAACCAAAAAGCCCCAAGCAGAGGAAGGGAACAAAACATGTTGTCATTGTCGGTGAAAGTTGCAGTGATTTGAGAGAGGCCTCTTGCACATTGCCTCATGCGGAAAGCAGGTGGCAGCACAAGCATGAGAGTTTACAGTTTTGCTTCTGCATGAAGCCCGGCCAAAACCTGTCACCCACTGATACCTGCTGTGTCTGTTCAGCATCACAGAGGAAGAGCTCCCTAGCAGAAGAGGCAAAACACAGAGTCTTCCACAGCCAAAACAGGAGTCCTACAGTACAGTTCAACAGTGCCAGGGCTAGGACCTTAACTCAGCTAGCTGACGTACTGCCAAATCATCATGGTCTATCTACCACTACTTCAGTCCATGTCACTGAACACTCCAACTGAACACTGATTGCCTAGCTGTGGTTGGAGTGTTACACTGCTCAGAACCACCCGGCTCTGAATGGTGGGATATCAGTAGTACATAAGTTGCTAGACAGGTTATATATATTCATACCTAGGGCTTTATTTCACACCAGCTTGCCAACAACAAATTTCTGTTCTGCCAGAAACTGCTTATACTGCAAAGAAGCCACCAGAGCCAGACAAAGCAAGTTCTGTTTCTCCATTCTTCTCAGGAAGTAATGTAAGTGCAAGCTGGTTTTGTAGACTAGTTTGAAGTGCTAACCTTTGGACGGTCTTCCTTTTTCAAGGCTACTGCTTCCAGTTTTGCTTCGTACTCCGCTTGAACTTGGTCTCTCTTCTTCAACACGTTCTATGGGCAAGAGAAAAGACAACTGTGAGATCTTGTTCCTTCCCTCCCCAGCCTGCAAGAAACTGCAAAGTGATACAGCTTAAGTGCTAACTCAGTCCAAAGTCAGACTTTCAGACTTACTTTCTCTTATTTTACAGTATTTAGGGAGTAGCTTTTAAAAACAAAGTATTTGCTCTCCAGCAGCTGGCAGGGTCAGAGAAAATTGAAGTTTTGGACAAGCTGGAGGCATGCAAGATAGAAGCTGTCATGTCACCATGAATATTACCCTGACTAAGTAAATTCAATTTATCATTTGACCGATTATTAGCATGAAAAGGATATAAACAAGAGCATCCAAGCTGTCAAGAACTAGTGCAAAACTTTTGACATCCTCAAGCACCAAACAGAAAACAGCATAGCCTAAGAGACAGGAAGGCCACCACAGAAGGTACTACATCTCCCTTTTCACTTACAAAGACTCCTCAAAGTCTTTTATAGCAAGCTGTTACATTATTGCACTAGAACAAAAGCTTTGCTTTTAGATCAGTTTGGGGAGTTTCATTGTTGGTTTAACTAAAAAAAATTAAAATTTTGAAAAGAACAATTTACGTGAAAAGCACTGAACTACCCAACTGAGTTTCACAAGCAGTAAAACATTTTATTGACGGAGTATTCTCGGCATAGAGAGCAAAAGATGCTACCTTTATCTTGTAATATAGCCACAAGTCAAGATCTCCACTAAGGTTGTACTACAGTCTTACAATTTAATAACAACCACAGAAGTTAGTCTTTTTAAGAATATACTACTAAAAAATAAGCAGTTCTGTTTCTGCAAAAGTGGGCAACTTACTTCTCCAGTCTTCACAAGGAAACAACTAGTAATTTTTTAGAACTCAGTTGATGCAAAGTTATTATTTAAAATGTTCAGAGGGAAGTCAGCCAACACTCACTGCTGAGGCACCTGTAAATCTGAACATTTTAAAATGACTAGTTTCAGACAAGGCTAGTAAAACAGGACTAGTCACATGCTCTGCTGCCTACAGAAATATCTGTTTAAAAGTGTAGTTCTCAGAGCTCTAAGAGCCAGTCTCACCAAGATCTGTTTCCTAATTAAAGATGTATGAACCCTGTATCTACTAATCATCATCTTCCCCTTCCTCCCCCTTAAGCCAAGGGAACATCACCAGTGCAGTTGCTCTAGAGTAGAGACTGAAGATATTGCAATCAATATTCTTACAAACCTCAGTCCATGGTAAATTGGAATGCCACCCCATGCACAAAGCTGCTATACGTTTAGGCAAAAAGAGGGGGCAAAACTGAAAAATTCACCTTCAACAGCTTAACACTTGAAAAAAAACACAGCATTCCCATTCCTTTTGAAATCTAAGCAACTATGTGGAATAGCCCTTAAGCGACTGAGGTTACCAATGCAACAAAAGCCTGAGAGATTTAACAGATATTTCTACTTTGTATTACCTCTTGAACCTGAGTCAACTGAAATTTCTTCTCAGAAAAACAACCGCCTCCAGCAATTGCATTCAGCCTATAGAAACCTCAAGTTAGTGCAGTAAGCTGGATCTGTACCAGGAGTAGCCAATGATTAACAGGTACCAGGAGATTAGATTCAAAGGGCAGGTGTCTTATTTCTCTTTAAGTGCTCAAGTCCATCCACTGTGGACCATTAACAATATGCTTCTGAATACAGCTTTAAGTATTCATTAATGGCTGACCTGTAAGTCATGAGAAAAATACTGCCTTCCCTTTCACTTGTCCCATATGTCAAAGGAAGTGTTTCCTCTGGCACCTCCAGGCAATCTCTTCTGAGTTGCAGATCAATGCCTTAAAGCTTCAGCAGCTCCTTCGAAAAACTCTGTGCCAAGTTTCCCCAGACTTACCACAACCCATGCAATACTTCCACTAGTTAAGGCCTCACTTAAAAGGAAAAAAAAAAAAAAAAAAAGTAAAAAATAAAAATTTTTTTTAAAAGTTGGAAGAAACCAACACCAAGCAGAACAAACTCACACACCACATTTCAGTTATTTGAGGACAGAACTAAACCACCAGTCCCTGTACAAACAAGACTTAGCTTGCTTTCAGTGAGGCAGGTCCTTCTCCATTTTGTATTTAGTTGAAAAATTCCACCTTGGCCCAGATCTCTGAAGGAGCTTCAGGAGTTTGCCATCAGCCTCCTTTCTTGAATTGCAATCCTATGCCATTTGCACACCATATAGCTTCCTACTACAACTAGATCTCACAAGAGGATCCTTATTTACCGCACACTTTTAAAGACAGAGTTAGTTATTCATGTGGTGCTTGTTTTAAACATGCATTAGAAGTAATGTCCAAGCACACAGCTAGGAATCACAACACTGCCAGAAAGGCTTATCAGGTGATAAGCATACAGAGATCATATAACATTTTAATACCACCACTGAATTATGTAGAGCTGAGTTTGTCCTTTGCACTTGCCTCCCTGGGGAACACCAGCATACCACAAAAAATGTGGTACCTCACGTTTGTTGACAAGTGCCTCACTGCACCAGGATTTGAGAAATCATCTGGCCATCTCACACATGACCTGTGTTTTGGAAAAGGTCTCTCCTAGACACTCCCAGCAACATTTAACTCAAGCCTGCAAAGCCAGCCTCTCCCCACTTCTGTAAATCTTTCAAATGAACCCAGAGACGGGGCTTCCCTGGAGTCAGCCAATATTTGTTTCAACCAGAACTACTGGGCTTTGCCTCAGTATGTGCAGTTCCCTCAGGCTTCCCGCTCACATATAACAGTGCTCCTGAAGACACTAAAGTGAACATTAGTCTCTAAAACACCAGTGAAGATAACCTGGCAGTTCTTACACTGAGGGACATTCACCCAGCTAGAGACTGCTCTACAAGTTCCTATACCTACACCTGGGGTACAGTGTGCAACAGAGAAAGCTACCAAGGTTGCACTGAACTCCTAGTGCCTAGAGACTTGCCTTCCACCAAGTACCCTGTCCAACAACTGTGCTCTGTAGGCCAAAACAGTCTTCAATTTCACAAGCAGGCCTCACAGCAGCTGATGAATAGGACTGCACTGCTAGTGAAGAGGACAGCCTTTTCAGCAGAAAGCCTCCCACACTCCAAGTGTAGCCTCCTTTACAGTTACTTACATGGTTTTATGGCATCTGGGAAGACAGTTCTGTAGCTGCTTACTGCAGAAATAGTAACAGACTGGTATTTTCTAGCATAAGAAAACTGCACTTGGTATGACCTCAGAGATTTCAGTTTTGGTATTTGGGAGTGAAGAAAAATAGGAACAGTCTGCCTTGGCTAGCAATAGGTTTCTTTCTTGATTTTCCAACAAAGCTAATGAGATGCCCAAGCTGGACACAAAACAGCATAATCCTTATTTGCTATTAACTGCTATTTTGCAAGTGTGGTTTCTAGATCCAACCCATTCCAAAGCACCAACACAATGAGTATGTTCAGTTCATTACCAGAGAATAACTGACAGGAAGAGTGAGTCCTTTAGGGCACTAGAAAGTTAAGTCAGCTGTCTAAAAATTAAGCTAAAAAGGGTTTCTTTAGCTGAAGAGGTGCTTCAGGCAAGCCTGTTAGCGTGGAGACTGCACTTAGTGTCTTTGCTGTCCTCTGACAAGAGCCCTTTTTGAATGGGCCTGTCTCCAAGCCAATAGGTAGTCTAGCTGCAAGTCTTTAATGCCATGCTTCCTGTAGTAAGTGGTGTTTAACTGCCTGAAGTACCTCTTCAGCAGAAGAAACCCTTGCTTTTTAGCTTAAAAAAAATCCTCCCACGCTACATTTGTGAAAAGCACCTCTCACAACTCAGCTTGCCACTTTAGATGCCATCTCCAGTACGCCATGGCCTTTGTAGCATCAAAAGGCACATGTTCTGGGCTAAAAGCTTTAACCACTAGCCTCATTGTTTTGGGTCTGTGTGGTGGGGTTTTTGGCAGCAGGGTAGGGGGCCGCAGGGCCGGCTCCTGTGAGAAGCTGCCAGAAGCTTCCCCGGCTCCGAGTGGGATCCGCCGCTGGCCAAGGCTGACCCTGTGAGCGACGGCGTTAGCCCTCTGGGAGAACAGGTTGAAGAAGGGGAACCTGCAGCGGGGGAGGAGAGCGGGATGCGAGAGAAAGCCCTGTGCAGGCAGCAAGGTCAGTGAGGAAGGAGGGGAGGAGGTGGATGCCCCCGCAGCCCGTGGTGAGGCGGCAGGCTGTCCCCCCCCAGCCCACGGAGGGGAGCGGGGCAGCAGATGCCCACCCGCAGCCTGGGGAGAGAGGAGCCCACGCTGGAGCAGGTGGATGCCTCCAAAGATGGCCATGACTCCATGGCAAAGCCTGTGCTGGAGCAGTGTGTCACTGAAGAACTGCAGCCTGTGGGAAGGACCCACGCTGGAGCAGGGGAAGAGTGAGGAGTCCTCCCCCTGAGGAGGAAGGAGCGGCAGAGACAACGTGTGATGAACTGACCACAGTTCCTCCCAGGGTGGGGAGGAGTGAGCAGCTTCATGGTGCTTTTCTGCTGGCTAGGCTTAAACCACAACACTCATGCTCTGTTTATTTGTAAGTACACAAACACACACACACCCCCCTTCCTACAGAGTAAGGTTAAGTCTGAACACCCTGGGTCAAGGCTTCCATCTACAGCTCAGGGTGTTCCAGCAATACTTGGGTGTTAATAGTCCTATAAATAAAATGCACCTTGTTTATGCTAGGGTCAATACCATGACTATGAAAGCAAAGAGTATACTCAGGGAATTAGTGCAAAGCCTTCATAAGAATCATTCAGCCAGGCAAGACAAGAGCCATACAACTAGCCATCTGAAGCTGGGAAAAGAAAGCTCTAGGTGTTTCAAATCTCAGTTTGAGAAGTATAGGATGACTAAGATTAAGAAGGACCACCATGTTCAGACTGTAGGTTTAAAACATTATTAGATCTCTAAAGAAGTGCATACCATAGCCTTGTGACAGTTGTTCCAAGTGGCAAGTCCTCAGAAGGAATTTGTCTGTTAGTACCCTATGGAGGGACTGCTAATACATACTGTACCGTGGCATTTGGTGAAAAGCTTTAACAGCCGAACTAGAGTCCTTAGGTTCAGTTTTCAGTGCAGTTAACTCAGTAATTCTTTTCCCCATTTCTTCAATGCAGTGGAATTGACTACCAATGCTCCTTAACTTAAAGAGAATAAAAACTGCATTGAAGTAGCTTTTATTACTTCTGCATAAGCCATAAGATACCAAGTTCCTAGGGTGATTAAGAGTCACAGAACAACATCGTTAAGCAGCTACTTGGTATGCAGAACTTAACAGAACTTTACAACAGATACATCCTGCCTAGGGTATGGGGATGAGAGAGGAAGCAGTGTCTGTCATTTGGACACGTGGTTCTAAAAGGAGCCAGCCAACCCTGCTACATAAAAGTGACAGAAGCTGCTAATGCTACTTTTTCTGCAGGGCCAGACACTGACCCAGTAGTGAAGAGCTGAGCTATGACTGACTTTCTGACAATTCAAAGAGAAGATTCTAGGCAGCCACAGGATGTCTCCTACAGAGTACCACCTGCCACTCCAATGAATAAGCAACTCTTCAACACTTTGTGTGCACCCTAGCATTACTGACCTTAGCTTGACTGAATAGGAGAGCAGATAGGTAATGCTACCCATGCAGTACCCGGTCAGCATACCTAGGTTTGTTTTGATTATGAAAACATCCTCCTACCTAATGCATTATTTACTTCCCGACTTTCCCCACCACCAACCCTTCCTGCTATTAGAAAGAATGAACTCACTGATGCATCACTGCATGCAAACACCAATGACAGTGTCAATTCTGCCACAGGGCTCTCTTTACCTTCATTGACTCCGAGTACAATATATATTCCCTAAGCACAGGCAGGAAGTCTTCTGTCATGTCTTCACTGAGTTCTTCAAGAGCTGTGCAGCAGTTCCCAATACAGGCAGACAACCCTTCCAGTGGCTCCGATAGCTCAACCTCTAGCGCTCCCCAGGTTGAATAAACAGGTCCGTATTCTCGTAGTTCCACCAAGTATTCTGCAAAAGGCAGATGGAAAAGTAGATTAACGGAGTAAGAGTGAGGCACAAGGATCTGCAAACACTCACACCAAACAGGAGAAACTATGCACCAAGCTTGGCAAACATTAACTCCCCCAGGAGTCAAGTCTTGTGTTACATTAGCATCTTAATAGACAGAGCTCTATGGCTGCACAGGTGACAGGTCCAAGTTGCCTCCTGCTTAACTGACCATTCCTACAAGCTTCCAATACAAAGACAGTTGCATCTGTGCAGTAGCCAAAGTAATTTTTTTTAAACATATGTAAAACTTGGGTCTGCTAAGACAGGTCTGTAAAGGTTATCTTCATCTAGGAATTCCACCTCTACTCCTCCAGATGGAATGTACTGGTTTTTCCCTCTCCCAAAAGTCTTTCCAAAAATAACTCTAGTAAGAAAGTAGGTTGGTATAACAACACGAGCCATTTTAAAAAAATATTTGGAGAATTGAGCTAAAGTAAGATACTGCGTTAGGCTTTGGGCCTGTTTTAAATCTGTAAGAGGCATTAGATTTTGCTCTGTGTGGCTCATTACAGGGCAGAATCATTGACACAAGTTGTCTTGGTCACACCATCAACCAGAATGAGATACAGAGCACTCAGACTGAAGTATTGTGATAGAGAACCTTGTGTCCTTACCCAACTGTTCCTTGATAATCCGTTGTGCTATTCTGTCAATGGTACCAAGCTTGAGAGAGAATGTGTCTAGATACTCCCCAATGGCTGCAAACTCCAGTGGCCGACTTCTTAATTTGTAGCCTCCTGTAACGTATTTGACAGACTCCCCCATCTTTGACAGCAATGCCATTCCTTGCTTTTTATAGGCATTAAGATCCTAGGAAGTTAAAAAAACCCAAACAGTTTAGAAATATTTCACTTGCTTGTTGGAAGATTAATATAGCGAGAGATACTTTCTAGTCAAGATCAAATTATGTGAAGGCAAAAGATTACATGTGACATGTAGCCTTGGACAAAACCTCACGTTATACAAGTTGTACAGCTGAGCACAGTTTCAAGACTACCTCTGGATGGAGATAAACTATCCAGAAGAATGGTATGAAGTACATTATAAATGAGTTAGTGGTCCACCTTTGCACATGGCCAGACTTTCCCATGTTCCTGTACTGTCACCAGGGAAGTAGTGATATTAACAGCTCTGTTTGCACTGATAGTGTTCATGCCATTCATCCATACATACTTTTAAGTCGTAGCCCACAATACCAGTATTATGCAAATGCACCAGCTGGCTCTGATGACCTAGTACAGAGCTACACATTGCATGCCTATTTGGTCAGCAGTCACATCACACCAGTTGTGTGGTCAGATAGAAGGGTGGGGAAGACTGCACAGAAAACGCACAGCATGGGAAGACTAGCACAGCTTTTCTGCAAGACAGAGGGCAGCTCAGGCTGGGTCAGATGTAGCCATGTTGCCTGCACAGAAAGCTTAAACTTCCTCGTCAATGCTTTACACGTTTGCATAAATCAACATTCAGACAACTTATGTTAACAAGGTTGTTTACCTACAATATTCAGGGGATTTCACCTTGACAGCACATCAGAAAAAACTTGTTAGCCAAAAGGTCGACCATTTTGCATTTTACTCCTTCCAGCAGGGGTCACTATTCAACATCGCAAAACAGGATTAAGCGCTCTAACTAGGTTATCCTATGCAGTCTGGGGAAGAGATGTTTTCAACCCAAGTAGACCCGTAGAGGCTGAGAATCAAGATATGGTATTACAGACTAGACTAAAAGCTTAAGTGTTCTTTAAAAGAATCCAACAGCCATCTTCAAAACATGTACTATGGTATTCTTTCCAAGTTCTTATAAGACAAATCTAAGTCTGATTAAGAGAACCTGACATATTAGCAGCTACTATAATTTTGGATTATGTTTGCATTTAAATGCAGTGGGTCCTTGACTCTTGCGTTCTACCTGTCCTAAGCACTATCTGCAAGCAGGGATCAGAAGACAACCCTTTAATTCAAAATCACTCACTTACTCTCTCACACATTCTGGTGTGTTACTGGTCCAAACAGGGAACTTCAAGAAAGGTTGGTTTCTCTTTTTCAGCCAGGAGGTGGTCTCATGACTTTCTGCAGCAACTAAATTCTGAAGTCCTAGCACACTGAACTGACACCTCACTGCTGCAATAGAGCAAGTTCCAACACTAGAGACAGCCAGAAGAACACATGTCCTTTTCCCTGAGCCTCCCTGGATGCTCTGTATTCTCAAGGCAAGCCCTGCCTGGGGCTGAGAATACAGCCCTTACTGTTTATTTTGCAGGGGTGGGAGAAGATGACTAAGCAGCTAAGAAAGTTGCATCATGCTTTGACAGCTGAAAAGCAGAACAAAGCTATCTGACATTTAACTATCAAGGTGCTAAACAAATTCTGCATTTCTGGCTTGTTTCAGCAGTTAAGTTCACCATGGAGGGGAAATAAAAGGGAACTGGAGATTGAGTCTCACATTACCAGCAAGCAGAGCATGAGCCTGAAGTAAGCTCAAATTAAGTGTCACATTTGAGTGAGCTAGCATAATGTGACATTGGAAAGACATGCTTTTACAGCTCTCTTCACTTATCAGGTCAAACCCAAACGTGACTGTAGGTCCTTCTAGTCTTATTTAAAACGCAGTTCAAAAGACAGCTAAAGAAAATTGCACCACTTATGGGTGAGTCACGCAGAAGATGAGCATGAAGTTGTTGACTGAGAACAAACAAGAATAAGGTCTTCATGCTTAGTTTTGAGGGCAACAAGTACAAGCAGTCTAGAAGGCACAGACAAGAAAAAAGTTAAGAAACTTGTAAGCTTTTGTGCAAGAGATCTCTCCTCCTCCACCTTCCTCCTCGCCAAAACAGGATTTTACAAAGTCTACAGTTTTCTAAATTCTGAACCTTTCTTGCATCAGAGGCATATGTTCTAGACACAGCGATACAAAACAAGCAAGTCTGGAGAACTGAATTTGTAAATCGACAGACCACCCCTCCCTTCAAGCAAAGGCAACCCATACAGTTGTCACACACAGGGGTCTGTCACACACAACATTCAGGGTCCCTAACAACTCTCTGGTATTTTAGGGGAAGTTCTGACCTGCATGTGTAGTTTTATTAATGCCTTTTTACCTTCATTTCAAAAGAGACTGCAAAGGTGCCTATTCTGTTGTCCCTGTCAATGACTGTGTTTGGAAGTTCCTGGCTTACCTTGGCTGTGAGAAACACGTTGAAGTGCTCATTAAAAGAAAGCACTGGGTGATCAGTTATTCTCTTCAAGAATTTGTCTAATGCTTTCCTCCTCGTCTCCACAAACTCTTCAGAAAAGCGATCGACAACACCCTTCACCACAAATTTCTCAGGAAGAGGCTGTCAGAGACAAGCAAAATGCACAACATTCAGAAGACCAAAAACTTGTTTCTGCTTTTTGGAAACATACAAAGCAATCAAACTGCAGTCTTAACAGGCACTGAAGTGTTATGTTTGCTAACAGGAACCATACATCAGATGGGATGCAAGCCTTGCTCTGAATTACTGTTGAGCTGGTCTGGCCTAATGCTAGAATGCTAGCAATTCTACTGAGTGGCTTCAGCTGAGACCCACACCAGTGAAGCCCAGACAGTCCTCACACTAGGTACTTCTAGCATAGCTTAGAGAGTTCCCCCCTACCGCTATCCATGTTCAAGCTCCAGCTCTAAAAGAGATGCCAGCAGAGCTGCACACTATTCACTACAGCAATTCATGCACACACACCCTGATGTTAAAGTAAGTCTGTTCAGTCCAAGAAAACCGAGAAAATTTAACAATTCTACTTACTCTTTTCCCCTGCATTCTGAACAATTTATAGCTCCTGGACAGGGAGGGCCCTTCTGTAAAGGGCTGATAGTGTTAGTAATAGCACTACACTGAGCAAAGACAGACGAGCACGGTCGAGTGGTCCAGGCTGGAACCTTCCTGAAGCACTTGCACAGTCAGTCATCTATCATAGCTGACATTCTTGAGCATGTTTGTGTAATGTTGGCAGACCTTTGTTACTATCTACTCTTTCACCTTACTCCTATTTTGATACCACCGGTTCATCTCTGCAGTTCAGCTTAACATGTAAGCTCAAGTCTGCCTCCATACTTGCTAGTTCTGCAGTCCCTCCTGTTACAGTAAGACTCCAGACTTTAAAGTACCACTTCAGATGGAAGATAACTCTTTAAGCTTCAGCATGGTTAGTCTCAGCTCTACCACTAGATCTGCTTTTGTTCTCTCCAGACAGCATAGACTCCAAGATTAATATAATTTTTAAAACTGTGCTTTGCATTTTATTCTTGTGAAACATTCTGCCCAGACAGATAATCTGCTTACTCTTAGACTAGCAATGACAGCCATTTTCACCCAAATCAGGAATCAGAATTCTCCTCTGCAAAGAGTCTTTGTTACCTAAAATCTGTGACAAAAGTAACGCAAAGTAAAAAAAGCTGCATATAAGTATGCCTTTCCCACCATACCCTAGCTGATGTGGGATGTACATGAAGATTGCACCTCCTAAAAAAACCCAGCCAGCCTGACTTAGCTGCAACACAGCTACGTTTTAAGCACTGTATTTAGTTCTTATAATTTAAGACTTATCTTATTATGCTTAGCATTCAGATTAGTCATTCTAGTTAAACCAGTGTAAGATACACTCTAATTAGACTTCTTCAGAAGAATAATGCTTAGTGCAGTAGTCTTCAGGGGGGAGAAATTCTCTTCCCTTGCTTTGTAACTTTAGCTGGGACTCTATACTTCAGGAAGTCACTACCTCAGCACCATATGCAGAAGGAAAAGGACAAGGTGGAAGACTAAAGAACCCTAGTTCAACCAAATGCATGCAAACTGCCACTGAATCATCACTAAAGTTTGAGCATTTTAGACCCACAGAAGAGTGCACCTCTATTAGAGAGGCTTCTGCCATTTAATCTGCTTTTAGCAATAGCAGCAGTTACAGTCCTTTACATTTTAGGCCTTTGGAGTTCCATCCCAAGTAGACAGTACACACAGCTAGCAAGTGATATTCTGCTTTAACTGTGTTACTTATCTGACTTACAGTCTTCCAGCTTAAGAGTCTTTCTAACTTTTCCCCAATGCGATATGTGAGCAGGGTTCACTATAGTCACAAATGGCTTCAAGGATCCAAACATCACCAAAGACAAGATCCTTGGCCATGTTAGGCTTATCTTTCTAGTCTAGAGACAGATCTGAGAGCATTTTTACTGTTGTTTGAAAGCACAGATTAGAGTAAGTCTCAGATAATTTAAAAAAAAAAGTTAAAAAAAATCAGTAACCAAAGAGATGAAAAGGAACCCCTATTCAGTTTAGTTTTGGCTCCTAAGTGTAGGCTATCATGACATGCTGCACTGAGAAGACACATCATTTGTTACAGGAAGATTTTAGGCAGATTCACTATACCAAGATTAGGAAGACAACCCCGTTTCGGTATTTTGTCGGGCAGAAGGCCTCCAGGGATTGCATTATCTTCAGTTACAAATACAGATACTCTTAGATTGGATTGAAACATCCTTTCAGAATACACTTGAATTACAGTGCACCTGAAACAGCCTTTAGCTTCTATTCCCCATCTACTTCTAGGCAATAAATACATAAAGCATTCAGCAATCTCCCTGCCATACCACTGCATGGAGGAGGTTAACAGGAAATTCCGCAACTGCTAACCTGTGCATAGACAGATAAAAGAGGGCAGCACATTCTTATGCTTCCAGATTGTCTAAATGAGAGCCACTTAAGAGATTGCCTTGTTCTGCAGCTGGTTTCATGTCCAGTATTAGAGCCACTTGTGCCAAATTTGCCATTCTGTGTGCAACGAATTCCAGGTCACAGCAAAGCAGCTTGATTCCCTGGCTGTGACTCACCTTCTGCTACTAGACTATTATTTATTGCGTTGCAGCCTTCAGGCAGGACTGGCAGCCTGTTGGTACACTCAGGAATCTGTACAAGCTTAACCTCAATAGTTCCAGCTGTTCAGGGAACAGGAAGGGAGAAGAGAGTGTCTGGGCAGCTAACACATTAATCTCATGTCTCCCCCTTACCCTGGCAAGCTCACTCTCTCTCTTCTCCTCTCCCTACCCCTCAGTAAACATATTTGCTGCCAGTTAGTGGTGTCACATGATTTTGTGAAGTATTTCTTATCTTTGAGCTATTATTTCACTTAGAGGCAAGTCCCAGAGTAATTAAGGACTTAAATAGCTCTCTACCCTGGAACAACCTAACTGAATAGTTCTCACATAGCCTAGTCCTTGCTGAGGGAGGGAGAGCAGAGAAACTTCCCCCTCATCCCAGATGGGCAAGCTAAGGTATGCTAGCAGTGTTGCTATTTCCCAATAATTTACCTCCTACAGGCCTTTTTTAATTTCTTTGTTCAAAACAGCTGATGGTGGTGATCCCACAGGCTTCCTACCTTTTCACATCTTCTACAGCATGAAAAACAGACTGCTGAAGATCAGTATCAACCTCTTCATATCACATAAGGTGGTTGGGCCGCCAGCTTCAGTGACAAGAAGGCGTACAGTAGTTTAGCTAACATCATTAGCTAAATTTCTGCCTACTGAAGGCATGCAATAACTACCAAGCCAGACGCTAAAATTTGCCAGTCTCTGCTACTAAATGTTAGCACAAATACTTCTAAAATACTGTCTTTAAAACCAGCTCTAAAGGCCATCTTGAAAACTGACTGAGACTAGGACTTGAAGTACCTGAGTGGCCTTCCATAAGCCTCAGATAATTGGAAACCTAGATATAATAATTGAACAAACAGATGAAGCATATTCCATTTATGCCATAACAAATGTAGTCACCACCCATATTGCCCTACAGGAGGCTGCCAGAGCTCGCTTCTCAGGTGTGCCAACCAAGAAAAGTCTAAGCTTCATCATCAGTCAAGAATGGGAAGCATTTCCCACTCTGCTAGAAGGGAATGAAGTACCGTATTTAAATCCAAAGAGACATATCACCAAAATAATCACCCTTGGAAGACAGATACAGAACTGTCCTTAATAGCAGATTCTTGCTTACTACCTACGGGAATGAGATGCGTTGGCTGAGACTCTTCCAGCTTGTTTCTCAACCAGTCGAAGTCTTGGTACCGCCGGCGGACCGAATACTCTGGCAAATCAAACTCTGCTCGCGTGGTCTGGAAAAGAACACCAGGATATGCTTAGTATGCACAGAAACTTCTCACTTCAGAGCTTAGCAGCAAATGCAGTACAGACATCACTGGCAAGGGTAAGGCCAGACAAGCCTTGCATGGGGACTCCATGCCCAAAATCGTGTTTGTAGCCAGCATGACAGAAAGATCCTCTGGCCTTTCAAGCAGTGGGAAAGCCAGCAATAAGAAAAAATTACTACTTGGAGCTGATGTATTCTTAAGATTTATTCACAGTTCATTACACGTTCTGCTCAGATAAGCTTTATGGGAGGAGTCTGTGGAGAGAAGAGTACTGTGCACCATGTAAAGCTCTTGCCAGTTACAAGTTTGCAGGGAAGACTGTGTGAAATCTTCATTCCAAGGATGAGGCTATTTTAGCCATCAAGAAGTAAAAGCAAAGGTATTTAATGACTTGTTTATTCTATGATGTGCATTAACTGTGGGTGAAAAAATGTTTCACCACTGCCCCATATTCCAGGAGTGACAGGCTTCTTACACTCCTTCAAGGCTAAAATATTAGAACATAAACCATTGCTAGGTTTGTCAAAGTACTGTTTTTGTTGATTCCCGAGAGGAAGAAACAAGTTTGTTTACATTAAGTTTGTGTATGCCTCATTAGAGATATCAGTACATTAAGTTAAATCTTTAAAGTTTTCATTCTTTAGGGCACAGAGTTAAACTTGCAATTACAAGTTTGAGACAGAAGATAGGTATGCAGAGAAACTGCTGGCAAATGTTTTATCCAGTCCTCGAACAGTTCATACCCTGGAAAGCTGACTGCGTGGGGCTGCTTGCACAGCACGTATTGCAACTGCCTAAAAGCACTAATGAAACTGTGTACCAACTAGGAGTCTCTGCTAAAGAGCCTGGTATTGCAATAGCCCTGATTGAAAGATAGATGGCCTTTATCATTATGTCCCACCGAGAAGCACAGTTCAGAGAAGCCTAGAGAACTATACCTGGTCACTTGCAGCATCAAGAGCATCTTGCAATGGAGGTGATGCTGCAGCGCCAGCACACTACACATCTACAGCTAGACATCAAAGCCACTGCGTTCTGGGGAACGCACCAGCTCTCCTAGCTTTGAACTGGCACCGAGTCCAGCACTAGGTTGCTTTGGCACTCCTAGCCACTACAACCACCTGCTAAATTCCAGCAGAGATTTTGTATTTACCTCCAGACTGAGAGCAACTGCTTCATATGTGGAGAGAGCCAAGTAGCAGCCTTCAAATGCAATCCACCTCTTCACTTGCTCTCTGGGTGACTCCAACTCTTCAATTACTGCACTTTACTCCCACCAATCCCCACTGGGGATCCTGTACAAGTTCTATGCCAGAAATCTCTTTCCAGGGGGAAGCCAGCAGCCTTAACACACTATCAACAGAACAGTAGCTCTAGTATACTATAAACAGCATGCTAATGTGGTATTACCTATGAAATGGTTTGGTTTCTAGTAAAGGAGGGCATAGAGACAGGGAAAAGAAGAAATCAAACTCACCTCCTCCCTCCTTTGACCTGCTAGCTACAGTAAGAGATACACACGTTAGTCCATGGCCTAACATAATGAATGCTCACCAATGGAGCAGATGTGTTTGTAGATGAGGGACTACCAAGACCTAGATATCCACTGCAGGTTTGTGCTTTGCTCAGCTACACCTTGGAATAACACCAGCTTATTTAACATTTTAGAGTGCCACACTATAAATGAAACTTCTGAGACTTCATATGAACCCTTTTCACCTGTTTTGAGTAAAAGACTGAATGGCATTACAGTAGAACAAGATAATTCACACACACATAGACAACCCTCATCTGCCAGCGGTGCTGACTGCTTTGTTCTGTTAATAGGGCAGCTATACCTCAGCCTTGCAGGAGACAACCAGGAATTAAAAAAAAAAAAAAGTAATGACTTAGTAGTAGGGAGAGCTTTTCTGAACTGGCTGTCATTGGCCTCGTAAAAGAGATCAGACAGTAAGTGAATGAGAGTAATCAGGATGTATACACACTACAGTGTCTTATCCTGCAGCATGAGGATGAATGTAAAGTCTGCCATCTGTTAGCACCGAGAACCTTATTACCAAGTATTCTGCTAACAGTTAAGGAAAACTGTACAGGTATTATTTAGTCTAGACATAGAAAAGCAGGATAAGTCTCAGTGCACAAACTTTACATTAGTTATCATTCATCTCTAGCAAACTGCTACTGCTGCTTTTACACAAGCAGATTTGCAAAGTCTTCCATATATCAGGGTTTGTTCCTCAGAGGGAGGGAGATTAAAGTACATCATAGCCATCAGCATTTCAGTGTTTGCTGTACAGGTTGTCAAATCTAGACAGCAAATAAGCTTTTCAAAGACTATTTGGACAGAACATAAGGGCACTTCAAGGTTTTAATGACACCTCACTAATGCTGATAGAATTTGGATCTCAGATCAAACTGTTCATTAGCTCAGCACAAGTTATTTTTTCCACAAAAGGGAAGAGGGTCTTGCCACTGTCCAGGGATGGCAAGTGAAATGTCTGTGGTTTTGACACAGTTTAATTCCTCCTGCTTTCTTAGTAGGATCCATAAATCTCATCTTGCAAGAACATGTGGGAAGGAAGCCGAGAAACTTATGTGCCAGATGTCAATCTCGCAAAAATAACAGGCAAGACATTTCTAGGGATTTATTGAAGACTCCAGCACAGTGCCAGTAAGTCATCGCTGTAGTATTCTGGGCTCAATTTTACTTTCTGGAAAGCAGGCAGGTTTACAGACACTTTTACCTCTGTTGTTGGAATAATTTTGACTTGAGGCAATGTTAAGGCAATCACCAAGTCCTGGTCTTGTGTAAGATTCTTGTCTTTCTTGACAGGAGTCAGCAGCCAAACTTAAAAGCTAGCCTGTGATGACTACATTAAAGTATTTTTCTACACTAGTTCTCATCTCTTACTCGCTACACCTGATTGTGGATTCTCCTCCATGTTACTATTTAAGTTTGGGGCAAAAATCTTCAACTAGAAGAAGAGGAGGATGGCAGAAGGGGAAAGGGAGCAAGGCTGGTGTCCTTAGCAGTTCATAGTTTCATTTGCCTCAAATAGTTTAGCCAGTTTGAAAAAGAGATCATAGCACTTACACCTGCTCCTCTCTAGCGATCAAGCTGTTTCATGTGCTCAGGTAACCTACCCAATGCAGGCACTGGAAGCAGGAGGAGAAGGACAGGAAAAAGAAAACAAGACCTCCACTTCAGTATTGACTGCTTTGAAAGCCTCTCCCTTCAAGCCTGCAGAGCAACTGCATGACTCTGTGGAACAGCATGCAGCTGTTTAGATCTCCATGGGAAAAGGCACAGAAGGCCTTGCCATCCTAGAAAGTACAACAAAAGTGAGGTTAGAAGTACACTTACTTATGTTTCCCTCAGGAGACATGACTACCTAAGGCTAAGCTTCATTTTCCCCCTCCCTCCTCAGAAAGATCTGCTTGATAAAATCCCTCTAGAGTGCACATCAGTCTATCTGAAGAGCACAAAGGTGTATCATCAAGAACACCCAAGACACTTCAATCATCACATCCAAGACCAGTTAAGTTCCAGCACACCTTTTTGGTTTCACTAGCCTCCCTGTATAAGGAGACAGCTGCTAGCAAGAAGAAAACAGGGACAGAAAGAGTTAAGAGAGCCAGGTCTGAATCACTGTCCCCTTTATTTTGGGGATTCCCATTACATTCTTCAAACGTGTTCATCCAGAAGACAGTCTGGGAAATGCTACCTGGGTCTTACTGGGAAGCTGTGAAAGCAGGGGCACAAGCAGAACCAAGTAAACGCTAAGCTTTCTTCTCAGCTTCGCTGCAAGCCATTGTTTTGGACCAGATGTTTTGGACCCTTCCTCAGCCACCACCATCTGTTGACAAAGGTATCAGTAGATGAGAAGTCGGGGGCATACTGCAAGACTTCTTTTTTGCTGTTACGATGAAGGACCTTTCTAAAGAAAGAAAAAACCACACAACACAAAAACAAGACTGTGGTCAGGTTACACTCTTCCCTACAGTGGTGTCCAGTCACAACCACAAGCGCACTACAGCACTAGCAACTACATTCCCCTCTTCCACTTAGTGATGCTGCTTTCCACTGCAAGGAAGTCTTCAGCAAAACTCATCCTAGGACCTATGTTTATCCAAATGTTTGAGGTTCCAGTAGCATTCTTCAGTGGAGAAAGAAAAAAAGCAGCCATCCCTGCCTCCTCATCCAGAGCCACCACAAAGACCCTTTTCAGTCCTTCACAGGTCTCAAACCCTTCTCATGCCAGGCTGCATGGGAGGTGGGGGGAAGCATGGCCTTACACTGATGACAAGAGCAAGGTCTGATATAGAAATCTGACCTACAGCCTGGTGGTGCAAGCATCAATGCTCATCCTCATCACTGTCTAGGGATTACTCCTGGGCGATTTTTTGCCATGTTTAATTACTGCTTTCAGCTACAATGGCTGATTGGGCAATGAGTCTGCCATCAAAGAGGCCTTGGTTGTGTGGCAAGAATGAGTCTGACCATTAATACTGCTAGTCTTCCAATAGTCTTTTTTAAACAATGGTAGATAGTGCTAGAGGTGCTAACCCTAGAGGTTAGCCGGAAGTTTACAAGAATAATAAACCCAAAGAGGTGAGGCTTTCATGGTGACTGATAAGAATAAATTACGCACTGTTTCATAATAGTATTGTAATGCTATGATATAGCAGATTTACATGCTACAGTGAGATCCCAAATAAAACAAGTATTCACAGACAGGTAGGTAGATATGCAAAATCAGAAGTACAGGATGAGGGATTTTTTTTATTTAAAAAAGGACACTGTTGGGTAATACATCTGATCTAAATACAGTAGATATCTGACCCACTGTCAAGAGTTCTGTTTTAAGAAGGGAAGCCTTGTATGAACACAGGTTTCCAAGAAGAGGAACATTATTAGGGTGCCACTGCATAGAGGTATTTTATCTTGACAGAATAATCAGGTCTTAATTTAAGGGAGAAATAACTTTAGCCAGTTTTAGCCATTTGGGTGTGGAAAGTTATGCCTCATTTTGTGCTTTCTATTCCTTCTGGTCACGTAACAGCTGAAGATTAAGTTGCTCCAAGCAGAAAAGTTTCCCGCAATACTTCTTCGGATTTTCTAGTAGTTAAGATACAGCATTTCTTGCAAGATTAAGACACTTAGAGCAACAAAGAATGACAGGCCTATGTTAAGTGGGCAGTAACAGGTAGCTACTATTTTAGAGAAACCACATTTTCTCCTGTGAGGCCTGAAAGTGGAACTTTGGCATAGACATTCTGGAAAAAAAAAAAAAAATCTATGGCCTGTAAAGACTTCCTTATCTCAAAGGTAAATATTCTCTCCAGTGGATAGTGCCATCTAAGTAGGCCAGAGGAATGTTAACCTTTTTGGAAAACTGGATCAAGTATATTCCAAGTGAAGTTAGTGAACACTTTGCCTTGGGTAACTACAAGTGCCTAAAACATGTCAACATTACCTAGGAGCTGATGCTAATGAGAATGAGCTAGTTAACCGAAATTAACATTCCAGTTGTGAGTGCAGTAGACTTTTCAGACCACTTTTCCTATTAGTGTAATTAGACTGCATTAATGATTGAACTCCAACACATGCTGAAAAAACCTCTAGCATATTTCTTTCGGTAAGCAGCAGCATTCTTAGGCTACTTAGTTTTAGTAGCAGCTGTACAGCCTTCTGTACCAACAACTGCACGGAAGCTAGTGTATAGCTGAGGATCAAGATTATGATTTAAAGTAAGTTGCTGATAGAGGAAGTGTGGTAAACACTTCAAGCAACAAGCTTAAAGCATTTCAGAACATGACAGACAAAATGTGAGATGATTAACAGTGAATCAACAACAAGGCACATTCCCCTTCAGGGGAGGTAACTCAAACTAAATGGGTGTCAGATTACTTTATATGAACAAACGTTCAAGTTAATGAAAGAAACTGGCCTTGCAAGCTTACAAACAGTTCTATTTAAGAGTCAGACACAAAAATCTAAACTGACACATTAGAAGTTTTGCATATTTTCATTCACTGAAGTAGTAACAGTTCTGCTAAGAGAAGTCATACCTTCGACACATTCACAAGGTACTGAAAGACACTAAGTTCTTGTCCTTAAGATAAGAAATGCAATGGCATAGACATGCAGAATATGACCTAAAAAACTCCCCAAAGAAAAGTACTATGAATGGAGAATGTTGCTTTGTACCTTGGTTGTAACCCTATATGTGATATATGTCTCCATTGTGCACACGTGTTTTTTGGGATCATCAACAGTAACAAAGAGATCTCTAGTTTCCCCATCCAAGTCATCATCCAGCTGCAGTCTGTTGAGGAGAGATGAGGAGGAAGCTGGGCTAGAAGTGTCCACAGGTGTGCCATTGGGTAGACTGAGATCCTGTATCGGAGAGAAAAAACAAGTTTTTAATAAGTGAACAGATTCATTGTAAAGCACAGTATTCTCAAAGATGCCACTGACAAGTTTCACTGATATATTTACAAAGGCTATATTTCAGCAGCTCCAAGGATAACCCTTCTCCGGGACACCTGGGCAATCCGCTAAGGTCTGGGCTTTGAGCATTAGGTTATTCTACTGCCCCACAAGTTGAAGAGAAAGCACATTACCACCACACCTCCCCTTAGTGTGGTGCAACCTGGTTTCTATTCATGAGGAAGTGGAAGTATTGCTGAACCAACAGCTCCTGGTGAGGCTGAAACAACTCTGAAAACAAAGCAGCTAGGCAAATCGAGAGACCTACTTATAAGACAGGCTTCAGGCAAAATGGCAGCAGTTTAGCTGACAGGAATGCAGTTAGCCTTCTCTACTGGAGACTCCTACAGTAGAGTAAGGAGGGCAAAGTTTTACCAGAGGCTTCCCATCCCATCCACTAACTTCCACACGTTGACAGCAGTCAGAGACTGATCTGCCATCACAGCACTACAGGACAATCACAGATCATACACTCCAGTACCAGTGCCTATGTACACCCCCCTTTTGGAGTCCTAAGGCCAGTGAAAACACTTGGGTTTTGCTTGGGGAGGTCCTCATTCCCATCCTCCCAACTACAAGAGTAGCATCCAGTGCCTAGGAAGACAGAGGCTAAAAGAACCAGCAAGTGGCTATTTTAGGAAGAGATGCACAAGGGTTTGGGGAAATCTGTAATTCCTTGAAACTGACTCAGCAGCAGGGGAAAAAAAACCCAACAAACCCACTTTATAGCCAACTTGGTACATTCCCACACCTTTGAGTCTCACACTTTGACACAGATCAACTACTCCATACAGCTAGTGGTTACTTCACATAAATATCACAGCAACTTCACATGTGTTCTCTGCTCTGGTTTTGTAGCAGAGGGAGCTGACAGCATGTGACAAGTTGTACAATATTTAGGAACATCTGACAACAGTGTTAGAAAGTCCCAAAGATCCATGGCTCTACTTTTCAAAGTGAGGACTTTGGGGTTTTGTTGTTTTTTTTCTTTTAACTAGTAGTACAAGAATAGATTTATCCACAGAGTGTTTCCCTTGTAAGGACAAAGGTTCCTCTGGTTGCTAGACAGAGAAACCGCTACAGCTAAGCAACACATTAACTAGAAGTGTTTTAGTTTTAGAATTACTGCTTAGCCCCAGCTTCACACAATCCTTCAGTGGCTAAATGAAACATGTAATCTTAGCAGAGCAATCCTGTTTGGGAAAGATCCTCTTTGTCCATCAGTATTCCTTATGCAATTGTGGTTTATGTTCCAGCCAGACAAGGGTAGTCCCTGTCTTCAACAGAAGTCCTCCTTTGTTCAAGGGTTCAGAATTACAGATGAGAGCTTCAACTTAAAGCCACTTACGAAGGTCTGCATTTGCCAGTGGCTAAGACCTGGTCTAAGTTCCTACCAGTCTTTGTCACAAACCCATCATGGGACTACTGGGATTTTACAGACAGTCCTCTGTCTGTTGCATTCCTGCACAACTGTGGTAGTATTGCTCTTTACCTTGAGGATTGCCTTATGAAGTAGCAAGAATAATGCTTTAGCCTAGACATTTTTGGAAAGTGGTGACCTAAACTATTGTCTACTAAGAGAGAGGTTAGATACATTCTCCCAGATAATGCTTAGAAGCGGTTGCCAACAGATGAGAGACTTCAGATTTAACTGGCAAATGAGAAAGAATTGGAAGGTAGGCACTCATATGCTCTCTTAGAGAGCAAAAGAGCAGGATGAGCATGGCACAGCTTGCCAGCTCATACAGGAGGTAGACAGCTTTGACAACACAAGCATGTGGCTCAGACTCCACATAGCAGGAGCGTGTACAACAGGAAGAAGCAACACTACAATAACTCAGCAGATAAGGAGTTCTGTTGGAGTTACACAAACAGAATAAGCAGAAGACAGGATAAGATTAGCAACAGGAGATGGCTTCAGAAAAACTGCAGTTCAGTTAGACAGGAGAATTTGGCTCAGCAAAGAGCAAAGCAAACCCTGGGACACTGCAGTAGCTGTAGACAAATATGTTCCTGTTTCCAAAAGGAAAAGACAGCTTTTCATTGCCCATGTGCAATAAGCATTAGTATAAGACAAGTTGTGCCAGAACTGCAGCCAGTCAAATTCTAAGCCTCCACTATGGAAATGAATTAACCTGTGAAAACAGCTTAAGCCTGGTTGCACGTGAGATCTCAAAAACTTTTAACAAAACCTTCCAAAAGAGAGCTTAAAGAATGTGATGGAATCTGCTTAAAATACGAAAACTCTGCATCAAGGTGTCAGAACAACTGGAGAAAGGACCAAAATACGGAGCTTGCAGCCACTTGCATGAAGTTAGTGACTTTCCTCACCAATTCTGTTGGAAGATAACAATATCATACTAGCATGTCTTGCACTTCTTAAGCAAGGCAGAGGTTTGTGAAGGCTGGAATCCATTTCAGTCCACTTGAGTGTGTTCTTGCAGTCATGGGTCCTGCGGAATGTCTCAGGTCTTAAAATAAAGGCTGTGATAGTTTTACCTGATCTCAGCCTTAGATGAAACACCCCAGATCTAGATCAAGTAACGCTTCTAGAGCAACTCTGGTGAGGAGCAGGAGGGCTGCTAGCTGTGGTAGGGGGTAAAGGACAAAGGATGCATACATTGAAAGTACTACTGTGCTATACTGCCTCATCTGCGATGGCAGAACCCTCCCAGCAGTCACAGCTGGAATCACGCCCTGCTACTTAGCTATTTTTTAGCAGTTGAAGAGCAAGTTAGAAGCTAGCTATTTGTCCCTCCTAATGGGTGGGGCCTCTTAGCTAACTGCACAAGGAACAATGCTTATGAGTGCTGAACCTTCATTTATCAGCAGGCAGGATCAGTTTGCTGAAGTCTTATGCTATTGCTAGAAAGAGGTAGGCTTTGAAGTGTCTCAGCAGATGGCCTAGCAATCTAAGTTGTCTCAGGCTGTAATCCTTTCAGCAGAGGACCTCCTTGTCACATTAATTGGCACTGGCTTTCTTCCATGGACTTGGGGGATTTTTTGCAGTTGGGGAAGCAAGACTGTATCATCTGTTCTAGTCTGCTTTTACCACAGAAAGAGCAGTATGTCCTGCAAAGCCTAGCAGGAAAGGAGATCTGCAGCCATCTGCACTTCTACCTGTTGGTCTAGTTATCATATCCACAAGCATTTGAAATACCGACTAGTATTAATTGTTTTATGTAACAAAGAGTCTGACTTCAGTGCCAGGGACTCATGCATCAGCTTCACCTTTAGTGCACTACGTAGCTGCTCATCCACTGTTTTAAGTGCCTACCTGCATTATCAGAGATCAGCTCAGTCCAAGTCCCAGCAGGTACCTACTGCTCACAAAGCTCTTCACAGAAAAAAAAACCTTTTCATCACAGCACCTGTTACTCACAGTACAGTCAGCCTGCCATCAGTCCCACAGCAAGGAGGAGAGGACGCTGCTTCTGGCAGCCAGACAGATGGAATGGAGGACAGGTTCTGTCAAGACACTCTTCAAGTCTTAGAGAGTATCCAAGAGCAAAAGTCCTTAGCCTCTGTCCTTCACCTCCTCAGGCCAGTCTCATAGCTTTGTCACCTGCTGAAGCAGGTCAGGTGAAGGTCTAGCAAGGCCTGGATCACAACCTACAGCAGATATAGTATGACATTCAGACCTTCAGTTTCATGATCTACTGGTTAAGTACTAGGCTTCTGTGCACAGCTGTACAATCATCTACAGGCAGACTCTTCACGTATTCCTGTGGAGTTTGGAGGATTCCCCAAGACACCCGAATTTATGAGTACATGAGACCAGATGACTCCAGTAGCACATGTTTTATATCCTACAGTGCAGGGCAAGTAGGAACTAACTGCCTGTGTTGGAAATGCATGAGCCCTGCCAACTATGCAGGCTGCTATCTGGTAAGGAAGCAGTTTCACATTCTTTTACTGTATTATGCAGTCCAAGCACCTTGACTAGTTAGCCTGCCCAGAAACAGATACTAAATCTATCAAGAAGTTCAATTCATCCAAGTTTAAAATTCAGCTGAATTTTATAAACTTGAAGTCTGCATGTGAGATGCAAAATGAGTTGGGAAGTTTCCAGCTGATGTCATCTTCTCCCTCCTTCATCCTCCCAGGAGATTTTCTAAGACTCTGGATTTACAGAGCAGCTTGGATCTGCATAAAGTAAAACCCCAGGGGCTTGGTATTCTGTCTTCCGAATGGCAGCCCCCCCTAATGGAGTAGTACACACCAAAGAAAGTATCCAGGATTCAATCCCTGAAGGCTAAAAAAGGGTCTAAAATTCTGTAGGTATTGGTTATTGTCAAGTGAAGATCATGCGGTCTTCTGCTGACTTAAGTGCAGCTAGTCAATACTGCAGCTTCTACAAACACAATGTTAGTTTTCACCTATCCTGGCTTAGCAAGTGTACAGCTTACCCAGATAGCTCTGCTATCTAAGCAGTAGTCCATGAAGGAAGTGGAAGAGGTGGTTTAGCTAGGTCTTCCAAACACAGATAAGCTCATCTCTGGAAAGGGTTAGCCTAAAACCACCTGATGTTGCAAGCACACGGCTCCCATTCAACAAGTATTAGATGCTAGTAAGAGACATTTAGAAATGTTGCTGTTTAGACACAAGTGGTGCACTTAACCCCAAATATCCCTCCCTACCTCAGGGACCTTGCAGTCAGGCCTGTACTACTACTACAGCTTCACTGTTTCACTTCTGAAATTTGGAGTGCAGTGCCTTTCTCCCTGTGTTTAAGGCATTCCATTGTTTTTTGCCATCCGTCTCCCAGAGAGACACGTAACCACAGACACAGACATGTCAAGAGGACAATGATTCCACACAACAACTGCAGCTCGTTTCTGCAACAACCCTTACCTTTATACCTTCAGTACAGAACAATAAGCCATAGCAGAATTGCTGCTGGTGAC